GGCAGCCTGGCACTAAAGCCTTCTCAAAACAGCTTGCTACTGAGTAGCGCGGCCAAGACAAACGCCTATTTAGAAACCTGGGAAGCTAACATAAAACCCAGCGGCACATTATGGCACCACGAAGCTAGGTTCCATGGGAATATGGAAGAACAGGCCCCTGAGCAAGAGATGAATTCCCGGTCCTCACTCCCTTTATCTTCGGGCGCAAATGAGCGCCACAGGCTGTTTGTGGGCAGACGACCCCACGTTCTACCTGTTCGGGAAAATTTGCCCTTCGGGGAGAACCTAGAGACGCCGAAGGGGGGAATTCTGTAGGTTTAGAAAACAAGAAGAGGAGCACGGGAGGCGGGAAAGAGACGACCGCACGCCCGCCTCTGGGAAGCCGCACGCCTCGCAGCTAGATGCCAGGCCAGGTTCCTAGGGCCCGCTGTCTCCCCGCCGCCCGCCGGGCTCCGCGCGCCCGCCAGGAGGACGCCTGGGCCCCGCGCTCCCGGCCCCGAGTCACCCGCCTGCCCGCCGCACTCACCGGCACCGGCAGCTGCCTGTCGCTGGGTGCCACCGTCATGTCGGAATCCGAGTCGGAAAGCTGCCCATCTTCCATGTCGCCGGCCTCCTGCGCCATCTTCCCCTGGCGCGGCGCGGCGGGCCGGGAGAGCACTTCCGGCGGGGCGGCGGGCGGTGGGTGCTCGGGCGCCCCCGCGAGGGGGCCGCTCTCGCCCCGGCGGCCGCTGGCGCCTGGCCCGGACGCCTGAGTCGAGACTCGCGGATGTTGCGTCATCATTGCAAACTGCTCCCGTGTGCTGCCTCAACACCCTGCGCCTTTTCTTCTGACCTGCTCTCTTCAAACCTAAAGATGTGCACACATGGCAGCCGTGAGGGATTCCTCCCTCGGTCTCACAGTCTTCGCCTGGATGCTCCAGGCGGGCCTTTCGGCTTCCATTCTTGATCCACTCTGCAAGTAGCTTCCTGGGGAGCCTTCCAGAAGGAATGTGAGGTCGCCGTCCGGCTCAGACCTCACTCAGCACAGCCGACAGAGCTGCAGCTGTGTGCTTCAGGCTGGGTCCCTCTCCTGCTCTCCAGCCACGCTGGCGCCTCTCGTTATTCCTCAGGCATCCTGGGCCCTTTCCCGGCCCAAGGGCGCTGCAGTTACCGTTCCCTCGGCCTACAGACCCTCCAGTACCCCGACACCCCATTCTTCCAGAGGTTATGCTCTCACATGATTCAGAATTCTGGTTAAACGCGCCCTTCCCACAGAGGTCTTCTTCAAGCACTCTCACTAAAACAAGGTCCTGTCTTTCCTGTCACCTTTTTATTTCTTCATGGCGTCAATAGTCATATGCCTATTTGTTTTATTTTTCTTGTCTGAATTTCCCCACCAAAATGCCTGTTTTATTCACTTTTTTCTACCTGTGCCCAGACCAGTGATTTCTTGTATGTAAACATGGTGAAGAAATATTAATTGAATTTTGGGGGGTATAAAGGGGATCTTATTATTTGTATCTTTTACTATTTTGTAATCTCCTTTCAAAAAGAAACAATATAACTGTTTATCCAGGGCACTTTTCTATACCAATACATAAATATCTAGCTCCTTTTTAATGACTTCCCAGTTTTTCCATTGCATGGAGGTAGCATCATTTATTTAGTTTCTGTTGGTGTACATTTAAAGTGTAGCCAGTTTTGCAATGAACATGTCTTTTTACAAACTTGTTTTATGATTTCCTTAGTATAAACTGTATAGGAAAAAATGAATTTATATTTTTGAAATATGAATTTAGTACCTATAAAGGAACTTAGAAGTCACTTGGCCCATTTTATTTTGGTAACTGAAGGGAGATTACATAGCTAAGCTTTTGCAGACCTCTGTCTTGACTCCAGGTCTCCTAATAGACAAGTCTATTAGGTTGTCTAAGGTCTCCTCCTAGACAACTGATATTTTACTTCTTTTGCATAGAGTTACAGTTCACCTGAATGGGTTCTTGTGTGTAGTGTGAAGTAGGAGTACATTTTCATGCTGTTATTAACATACTGTGTGGTATGGGATGCAGCTAAATATCATATAATGCATAGAACAGCCCCAACACTAAAGATTTTCTCCAGTGTTTTCCACTAGATGTTTTAGAGTTTTGGTTCTTACTTATAAGTCTATGGTTCATATTGACTTAATTCTTGTATTTAGCATGAAGTAGGAGTCAAGGTTCTTTTTTTTTTTTTTTTGCATCTGAATATCCAAATAATATAGCACTCTGTTGAAAAGACTATTCTTTCTCTTTTAATTTCTTTGACACCTTCATTGAAAATTGACTATAAATGTGAAAGTCTATTTTTGAGTACCCTATTTCTGATCCATTGATCTTTATGTCTGTTTATGTCTGTCTTTATACCAGTGTGACATTTTCTTGATTACTGTAGCTTTATAACAGTTGTAAAATTGTTTAAATAATTGTTAAAATCAGGTAGTGTAAATTTGTTCTTTTTTTTTTTTTCCTTAAAACTGTTTTGACTATCCTGGATCATTTACCTTTCCATTTAAACTTTAAAATATGCTTGCCAATTCTGATGTTTTGATTGGATTGCATTGAATCTATAGGTTAATTTGGACATTTGAGAGACTGTAGTAGCCTGATACCACTGAATGCTGGAATCGAATATTATTAATCAATAACTCTTCTTGTGACACTGGGCTCATTAAACCACTGGATAGGTAGAATGTACCCTGGAAGAGAACGCAGTATTTAGAGGATGTGAATGGTTGGTCCTTTCTGAGAATAATTTTCCTCATTAAATGAAAAGCCAGCATGTTAGTTGCAACATCATAGTTTGATATTTTGGTGAGCTTGATTAATCTGAGTTTGACCAGAGCAATAGTTAGTGTCACTCACTCATGCTCTGAAAAATCAGATGCTGAGTTTACAATAATGAAATTATATTCTGGGTGGTGGTGATTTTTCCAATTTATTGCTGCCTTGGGGCAAGCATGCATGTTCATATCACTCCGCCTTCTGGCCAACTATCTTTGAAGAATAAAGACAGCTAGTATTCACAGAGGACTTCCCAAGCACAGGTCGTTTGTACTTATGCTGTGACTCCAGAGTCTTTGCTTTAACCACTCTCTGAGGCCGTTAATAAGTCATTTGAAAAGTAGAATTTGCCATCTACTAACTCCTCTACTTTTAATACAAAATTAGTTCAAGGGTATCCTTACATTTAAATTTCTGTAGGGCTTTGCAGCTTTTATATATGCTTTCATGTACAATCCATTTAATTCTTTTTCAAGTGTGAAATGTGCTTTCATAGGATTCATTTAATTCTATATCTTCCCGCTTTGCCCCATCAAATTCATTGTTGGTGATTTTTCCTGACCTCCTATTGACAGGCTAAGTAAGTTTTGAAAAAAGAAGGTAGAAAAGAGATGTATTCCCTATTTTCCATATAGGCAGATAGTGTGTATCGTCCCAAAACTTGTTTAGAGGGAGACCACCATGAATCACTCTTTTTGACTTAGTGAAGAGATGGAACTTAATATTCCTTGAGAGCGTCATGTGTTGCTTCTAAAATTTAGTGCATCTGTAAATGTCTTTTCATTTTTTGAATCAAATGGAAGGGAAGAGAATGGAAGGATGTGATGTTGGGATACATGTGCAAAGAATCTTACTGGCAGCCAGAAAGCGAGGAGAATTAAAATGAAGGAAATTAGTGAGTCAGTCCTAGGAGTGGATGGACAGGATTAGTTGGGTTGTTGATACAGATTACCAATGCTGAACAGGGTATCCTTGCTTATTACTGCTGAGGTGTGTTCATAGGTTCATTTTTTCCCCCAGTGATGTAAATGAATGTGAGCCTGGTAGGATGCTGGGAATTGTGGAGTCATGCAAGGATGAATCAGAGGTGGTCCTTGCCTTAATGGGGAAAAAGCATAACATTTTCAAGTGGAAACACCATTCAGATATTGCCAGCACTTACTACAGTTTCTGATAAATGCTTGCTTGATACATGCCTATTTCAACATGATTTGTTGAAATCATTTATGTTCTAAGGGTCAAACAGATAAAGCTTGAATGCAGAGATGGAAGGAAAGGTTTTACAGGTGGAGGGAACAGTAGGGCAAAGGCACCATGAGAGGAAAACACAGGCTTTGTAAAGAAACGTGTGACTCTCAACTGTCTGGTTGCCATGTGGAAGACCACAAGGTGAGTATGGAGAAGTAATATTTTGGGAAAGTAGGTTTGGAATCACCTTATTTATGCAATGATTTGAGAGTGTGTGTATATTTTAAACTCCTTTCCAAATAATGCTGATTGAGATGTTGCCATTTCCCTTAAATAGGATAGGCCTAGTTATTGTGGAATTAGGTGGCAGATGGGATGGTGGGGATGGCAAGAATATTGCAGGAAGAAAGAAGAAATGGAGAAAAAAGGAAATTGATCAAAACCGTCTTTGTTCTTCAAAAGCAAGAATATACCCACGCAGAATATTTGGAGGGAACTACCGCAATTTACCATTTTTCATTAATTAGAAAACTCTAATTTGTAATGTAACAAAGGGGCGGAAACAGTTCTCTTTTTCACCAGAACTGGTTAAAAATACCGACTCTCAGAGCCCAGTCCAGACCTGCCGAATCACAGTGTGCATTTAACACGACAGCTAGGTGAGATCACATGCACGTTACAGCCTGAGAGGCCCTGCTCTAACTCGCTATACTTTAGAGCCAATATTTTGCTGGAAAAAATTCCTAACTGGTGCCGCCGTTCCCGCCGTCTTTCACTAGATGGCAGTAGCCTGCTCACTTCCCCCGGGTTTCACCCTCATTGTTTTCCAGGCCCCGATTAACCTACAGGCCACAGCTCCCGGCTCCCGCGCAAGACCCACCTAGGCAGGGCGACGGCGGGGGGCGTGCCCGGGGGGGCGGGGCCGGGCCGGGCCTACCCAATGGGCTCCTCCGGGCCGGGGGCGGGGCCGGTCCTACCCAATGGGCTCCTCCGGGTCGGGGGCGGGGCCGCACTTCAGTTGCTCCTCGGGCCGCAGGCGCCCCTCGCATCCCTGACTCAGTATGTGGCGTGTTCCCGGTCTGTTCTGTGTCCACGTTGCAAGGAAGAGCAAGTTCTCCGGACCTTGGAGCAGGCCTGCCGCCTTCATGTCCACTCTGCTCATCAATCAGCCCCAATATGCTTGGCTGAAGGAGCTGGGGCTCCGCGAGGAAAACGACGGCGTGTATAATGGAAGCTGGGGAGGCCGGGGAGAGGTATGCACGTCTTGGGCAAATCTCTGCGGCCTCTCTTCGCCCTAGGAGGCCGGACAGACACTGCCCAGCCCTAATCCCCGCGGACGCTGTCGGCTTGTACTGGGTGGGGAGTTTTGAAGTCCATAGTAAACGTTTTCTCAAGTAGAACCATTAAAAGTACCATTAGATATTAGGTCCCGCGTGTTACCGAGAATCGAGTTCATTTTGGAGCAGAAAACGGTTGACCTTCCCAAGCGTGCTTAAAACCGCACGGCAGAGTTCTGCCCTCTGTAGTGCGAAATGGCACACACTTGGCGGTGGAAATCATCTGACTTTTCTACTTTTCTACTACTGTTCTACTCCTCACATGTGACGTGCGCCACAGGTAACGTTCAACAGTACAGTTTTATGTTTTTTGGAATCGTCTGGAATGCAAGCTCGGAGTTGCTGAAATCCTGTTTTGCAGTCACTGGGCTCAGAGCTTCCTTGAGGGCCAGATTTTCAGCATTTCTCTATTTCCAAGCCCTAACAATAGCTTGACTCTCAATTAATGTTCAATAAAATGTTTTATAGACTAGGATGGAAAGGTAAGGTTGTTATCACTTGGATTATTTTTGAGGGCTGCATAGGAAAGAAAACTTTGATAAGAAAACATTATATAACATCCCAACAGTTTGTTGAATGAACCTACTTTGTTAGGGGAAAGGCATTTTTTAGTTATCTGCAGCTGTAGGAAGTGCAGGTTGTTTTAATTGTTCCCAAATCCCCCATTGGTGGTTTTATCCTGTTTTTTCCTGTGGTATCCAATCATTAGGTTCATGGATAAAATACCATCTCTGGAAAGCCTTCTTAAAGCTATACCTGGTTTTTTTTTTTTTTAATTTTATCCCTCCAGTTCATGTGGACACACGCCTTTCCCATGGTTGTTTAGCCTTGGCATTTACACTTCTGACCAGAGGGTGGGCAGAGTTATGGAGAGAGGGAATAAGCTAAACTTGTAACTGCATGTGTGTTATTTGCTCAGTCGTGTCCGACTCTTTTGCGACCCGAGGGACTCGTAGCTAGCCAGGATCCGCTGTCCATGGGATTCTCCAGGCAAGAATGCTGGAGCAGTTTGCCATTCCCTTCTCCAGGGGCTCTTACTGACCCAGGTCTCCTGCATTGCAGGCAGAGTCTTTACCATTTGAGCTATAGGGAAGTCCCTAAAACTTGTAACTTTGGTCTGTTAATGAAAGAAGAGGCAAAATAACATGTTACTTTTAGGCTTTTGTTTAGATGCCTAATATTTAGATGGCAAGGGTGGGTTTTGCAGAAAAGGGGGTTCTGAGTGTTCAGGTCAAAAGTGAAAACTCTGTAGTCTCCTGTTTATGGAGAAGGAAATGGCAACCTACTCCAGTATTCTCGCCTGGAGAATCCCATGGACAGAGCGTCCTGGCGGGCTACAGCTTATGGGGTCGCAAGAGTCGGATACTACTCAGCGACTAAACCACCACCAACCAACATAAAGGTTCTGAGTTGGGTTATTGTATCTTAGTTCCGCCCCACCTTCCTTTTTACCTTCCTGCATTAAGTCTGCTCCCCCATTTTCTATTTATATAGATCATCTTTTTGTTTTAGGTTATCACCACCTATTGTCCTGCTAACAATGAGCCCATTGCAAGAGTCAGACAGGTAAGTGCTTTTTTTTTTTTCTTTTAATGCAAAATGCCCTTAGGGAGTTTGTGCCAGTTATCATTGAGTAATACAAATTTACAAAGTCAAAGAATGTTTCCTTTTAATTTAACATTTAAGAATGTCTGGGGGAGGGACTTTCCTGCAGGTTCAGTGGTTAAGTATTGGGCTTCAGTTGCTGGGAACATGTGTTTGATCCTGGTGGGGGAACTTAGATCTTGCATGCTACACTGCCTGGCTGAAAAAAAATAAATTCTCGGGGAGACCCTGTACTCTGTGAGGATGTATATGCCCTGGAAAAGGTGACCCCTAGAGAGGACTACCCAAGAGGGGTTCCATTGAGGTCTAGGTTTCTGAATCACCAGGGGACTTGGGTTAAGATGAATGTTCTGACCTCTTGAATCTACGTTGTAGCCTGAGGTTCTGAATTTCTAATATACTTCAGGTATTGCTCACAGATGAGGCTCCTGGACCTTGCTTTGAAAGGCAAGGTTTTAAAAGGTACAGAGTCTAACTTAACAAATTCCAGCAAGTTTTGGGATATGTAAGCTGTGATAATCATTTTAAACCACAAATCTTAGGGTCACTGGGGATTTTACAGTTCTTTTCCAAAAGTCTGTGTTCTTAGGAGGAGATCATCACTGCCCTTTCCCTTTCCCTTTATCTCCCTCCAAATCTTTATTTAGGCCAGCATGGCTGACTATGAAGAAACTGTAAAGAAAGCAAGAGAAGCATGGAGCATCTGGGCAGATGTAAGTATGGAGTCCGAGACACAAATACCTATGACAGACGGGAGGCAGCCAGCGCCCCCTTGCTGAAACTGGAGCTTCTTGGGGGCTGTGACTATCTCTAAGCTGTAGTCCTGAACTAGTACTCTTTTCTGTATTTTGCCTTCAATAGCAAGGTAGTTTTAAAGGTAAAAGAACTCTGTACTGTCGTAGCGTAAACAATCTATGAACACTTGTGTCTCCAACTGATCTCTGAACACCCAAGTCTCCAAAAATTAAGCAAAGAGAAAGGAATATCTATGCCAAAAATAAACCATATGCTCCTCCCCCACCTCCAAGTTTTTTTAGGGGCAGGGAGGGGATGTTAGCAATAGGTCGGCATTCTTGGTTCAGAGGGAGTGGTGTCAGCAGCTGCCCTCATAGGGCCTAGGCTCCAGTTCCTCGGCAGTCTGATGAGGCTCTGAGGCTAATTCTGCCTCCCCCTCTCTGTCTCCACCAGTTCTGTGAGCAGGTGTAGGAATTGACGAGCTGGGCTGGGCCACCCTGAGCTGTCAATAGATGAGGGCCAGGCTCCGGAGGAGGGGAGAGTAAAGAACTGGCTTAGTCTGGATCTCCTGGTTTACCCTGAACCTCTCTTTTGGTCTTCTGCCTGAGATACTTGGCCTGAAGCTATAGGAATATCCTGAAAGATTTATCTCCCTCCAAATCTTTATTTAGGCCAGCATGGCTGACTATGAAGAAACTGTAAAGAAAGCAAGAGAAGCATGGAGCATCTGGGCAGATGTAAGTATGGAGTCCGTGACACAAATACCTATGACAGACGGGAGGCAGCCAGCGCCCCCTTGCTGAAACTGGAGCTTCTTGGGGGCTGTGACTATCTCTAAGCTGTAGTCCTGAACTAGTACTCTTTTCCATATTTTGCCTTCAATAGCAAGGTAGTTTTAAAGGGAAAAGAACTCTGTACTGTCGTAGCATAAACAATCTATGAACACTTGCGTCTCCAACTGATCTCTGAACACCCAAGTCTCCAAAAATTAAGCAAAGAGAAAGGAATATCTATGCTAAAAATAAACCATATGCTCCTCCCCCACCTCCAAGTTTTTTTAGGGGCAGGGAGGGGATGTTAGCAATAGGTCGGCATTCTTGGTTCAGAGGGAGTGGTGTCAGCAGCTGCCCTCATAGGGCCTAGGCTCCAGTTCCTCGGCAGTCTGATGAGGCTCTGAGGCTAATTCTGCCTCCCCCTCTCTGTCTCCACCAGTTCTGTGAGCAGGTGTAGGAATTGACGAGCTGGGCTGGGCCACCCTGAGCTGTCAATAGATGAGGGCCAGGCTCCGGAGGAGGGGAGAGTAAAGAACTGGCTTAGTCTGGATCTCCTGGTTTACCCTGAACCTCTCTTTTGGTCTTCTGCCTGAGATACTTGGCCTGAAGCTATAGGAATATCCTGAAAGTTTAACCCAGCTCTGCCCCAGACAGTTACTTCGCTTCGTGTGCTTTGTCTTTTGTAGAAAAGGGGAGGCCAGGTGTGCTTACCCCTTGGGTTATCAAAAGGGTTAAATGAGTTAATCATTTAACATGCTTACATGCAGGGGTAAACCTTAGCACCTGTTTGATTTTTAGATCCATGTGCTGCTGAGTTTGGAACTGCTGAGCCTCAGTGGTTTTTTTTTTTGTTTTTTCCTCCAGAATCAGTGGTTGCTCCCGGAACTTGGGAAAGGGCAGACTCTCCAGGAGAGCCCTGAATTGGATGCAGGGTTACTGTTAGCCAAGAGACTGCCTCTGTGCAAAGCAGGAAGAATGTTTCCTTTAACTAATTTTGGCTATAAGTTAAGCTCCAGGTTTATGATATACAATCAAAAACTGAACTGAAAAAATCCTTGAACAAAGAAAATACTGCTTGTAAAAGTCAATAGTATGCTAAGTGAAGTTCACCTTAGCAATGTAGAGAATAGTGGCCGATGCCATGTCAGCTTATTTTAAATCGGCTCATTCCACATCTGCAGGTACGGAGTGCTGACTGTTCTCCACTACTCTGTGTAAGGGGCTTGAGCATCCATAGGTTTTGGAATCCGTGGGGGTCCTGAACCAGTCTCTCATGGTTACTGAGGGACAGTTGTATTGTTTTTGTTATTTCAATTAATAGACTATTTAGAACAGTTTTAGGGTGAAACTGTAGGGGAGGAAAATTTTTTATTCTTCCCTTCTAGGTTCTTTGGCTGGCCTGATAATTAACCAATATACAACAGATTAGCAGGAGAAAAACAAATTTTAATATTTTATGAGGGGGAGGCATGAAGATATGAGACCCAAAGGCAGCCAGGCAATTGAAGCTTATATACCATCCTGAGCTAAGTAGGAACACGGGGCTTCAAAGAGGAGGAGGACAGTTGCTAGGAATGTGAGCAGAGCAAGTGTTCGGTAAGCAGACGCTTTCCTTCTCGTGCAGATAAATCAGATATAAAAAGTTTTCTCTGTTGATAACTCCTGGTACAGGTCCTTTTAAAATTTCTTTTAGGCTGTTAAGGAGAGTTAGAAATCTTTTCCTGAGTCTCCTGGGCCTTAGTTATCTGTAGCTCAAAATAAAGCCAAAGAACTTGTCAGACTGGCCCATCCTGGGGTGGCTTATTCTGAACTCCTAAGTTTCCTGTATTAACACCCTGCATTAGTGTGGTACATCTTATAATTGGTGAGCCAGTACAGACACATCAGTAGTAACTGAAGTCCATAAGTTGCATTAAGATTCACTCTTTGCATGTGTTGTTTTGAATTCTAGTGGAACTTTTGATCAGAAACATCCACTATATGTGTGTATGTACCCACAGTAAATATAGTCTTGTTGGAAAAAAGATTTGTGTGAATTCAGGGTCTTTTCTTTCCCTGAACTGACTTTTCGGTCAGTCTTGGCTTTGCCCATGGGGGTGGCCATCGGCGCTGTGATGTCTTTAATATTGTGCTGTACTGTGACGTTGCTGCTGTTTTCGATTTCAGGTTCTTCTTTGAAGTCTGCTCTTCCACAGTCATGCCAGCCTCTCTTTCTGCTCTTCATTTTTATTCCTCTCCATAGAGTGGGGCTGCTAAGTGGGAATGAGTGGCTTTCCTGGGTGATGGGAGAATCAGTTGGGAATCCCACTTGTTGGAATTTGAGTTAAGCCGTTGAGTCCAGAGTTTAGGGAGGAGGCAGAGCATTTCTTCCGTGTGCCTCCAGGACTGCTCAAACATGAACAGAGCAAAGCTTGCTCCTCCTCGTGTGCATACTTTTTCTCTTGGCGCCTCACTTGCCTGGGGCTACTTCTGCTTGGCCCTGACCCTTCTGGGTGCTTTGCCTGTGAGGACAAACCACCGTTTCATTTAGTTCATTTGTATTAGACCTGGAATTTTTCAAAGGGAACCTTTTTTTTTTTTAAGGAAAAAGACAGAGTATGAAAATATAAAAAGGTAGTTTATAAAAATGTTTCTCTTAACTAAAACTAACCACCGAGAACCTGGTTGGGAATTCTTGCTCTGCTGTTTTCTTTCATGAGCTGAATTAGTCCAAATGCCACCTGTTTCTGCCCGTCTGCATCCCCTGTGGGTGCCATCACTTTCCTTCTGCATTCCTGGTGAGGAGGAAAGCCAGAGTCTCTTTCTTCTCTTGATGACAGGAATTTGAATGGGCCTTCTCCAGCTGCATAAAGGGATTCCAGATATCTGTAGCGCTCTCTCTCTCTTTTTTTAAGTTAATTAATTTTAATTGAAGGATAATTGCTTTACAGAATTTTGTTTCCTGCCAAATATCAATATGAATCAGCCATAGGTATACATGTGTCTCTGTAGCTCTTTAACACAGTTGTCTTTGCAATACTTCCCCAAGTGCTCAGCAGATAACTAACTCTGCTCTTAGTTCCCTGTTCATGGCTGTCTCTGATGCTCACTGTCACCCTGACTTCAGAGTGAAGTGTGCAGAAATGAGGACTTGGTGGCTGTTTTCAGGAGGGTCGAAGGTTACTGATGTGCTCTTGTGCTGGGCTGGTCAAACCCACATGGGGAATGGGACTGTCTTCCTGGTTACCTGCTCCCCCTCATCCCTCACCTCATACTTAATCCTGACTTTCTTTTTATCTCTCGCTGCTCCTACCCATCATTTTGGAAGCGGGAAGAAAGAAAAAAAAAAGTCAAGTTTGAGTGGTCTGAGATGGAAAGTAGTTTAAACCTTGGGTAGTGGGTTCTAATGTGTACCCAGGGTTGAGACTTGATCAGTTGCCAGGTCTTAACAGTTTGAATTATGTTTATCTCTATTGCTGTTTTTGTGGTCCAGACAGCCACCATCTCTTGTCTGGCTTCATAGTGTTCCTGCCTGAGTCTTTCCTCCCTCTGATAACATTTTCTATACCACATCTAGAGTGGTATTTTAAAATGCACTGTGAGGGACGTTCTTGGTGGTCCAGTGGTTCAGACTGTGCTTCCACTGCAGTGGGCCTGGATTTGGTCCTTGATCTGGGAGCTAAGTCCCTGCATGCTGCATGATGCGGCTAAAAAATTAAAATGCACTGTGATTTTTCTCCCCACTGTACAAAACCCTCTAGTGATTTCCCCACTGCTCTTTGGATCCTTTACACGGTCCTTTGCAGTGTGGCCCCTACTTTCCACTCCTAACTTCTTTCAAGTCTTTATAGTTTCCCAAAATTATCATATTCTCTTGCCTTTTAGCCTTTGCATATGTTATGTTCTCTGTCCCCTATAATTTCCCTCTGCTTTATCTACCTCTTCAGATGGCAAACACAAATCATGCTTTAGGCCTCAACTCTTTTAAAAGCCCCCCTCCTTCCCACCTCCTTGTCCCCAGGAGTTACTACTGGGTTACTACTAATAGGTGGCCCGCTTGTATAGTCTAGCACCATCATGGCGCTTACTACGTGAGATTATAATCTCTTGTTTTGTGTCTGCCATCCCCAATGGACTTGAATCTAGCTGCCTTGTTTCCCTTGAATCCTGGGGAATAGCACACTATCTGGCACATAAAATGTGTGCAGTAAGTGGTGGTTCAATGACTGATAGAATAAATAAGCTCAGAATAGTCATGTGTACTGAATTAGCCATTCCGAGTTGAAGTTAACCAATTTGCTAAGGCTATAAATGTGTGGGCTAAATTTGGTTCAACTCATTCAGTGCCTTAGAAAATACAGAGGATCTTTGCTGTTTCATTTAACGTTATAATTTTTGTTTACTGTTTCCANGACTGATAGAATAAATAAGCTCAGAATAGTCATGTGTACTGAATTAGCCATTCCGAGTTGAAGTTAACCAATTTGCTAAGGCTATAAATGTGTGGGCTAAATTTGGTTCAACTCATTCAGTGCCTTAGAAAATACAGAGGATCTTTGCTGTTTCATTTAACGTTATAATTTTTGTTTACTGTTTCCAAAAGTGTGCATGTATCATAAAAATGGCAAATGTTGCAGACGTACAAAATGCAGAGAACCAAAGTGTTATGATTCCATTTCCTGGAAATTGCAACTGTTAACCTCTTGTTGCAAATTCCATCAAATTTAAGCAAAAGTTTACTTACCATATGCATTATCTTGCTTTTTGTTGTTGTTGTCTTGTTATGGCTCTTAAAAGTTTTTCCTTATAAATCTATTTTATTCTTTTTAGAACGTATCTAGAGATTTGATGTGCTGTTCTATGCTTAGTCACTCAGTCGTGTCCAACTCTTTGTGAACCCGTGGACTGTAGCCTATCAGGCTCCTCTGTCCATGGGGAGTCTCCAGGCAAGAATACTGGAGAGGGTTCCCATGCTCTCCTCCAGGGGATCTTCACAACCCTGGGATCGAACCCCAGTCTCCTGCCTTGCAGACTGATTCTTAACCATCTGAGCTGCCAGGGAAGCCCTCCATTTTATGGCTATTCCATAATTAACCAATCATATGCTGATGGGCATTTGGATGGTTTCTGTTTCTCTACTGGAAGTAGCACCGCAGTAAATGCTGTTGTAACCTATACTTTTGCACACTTATCTATATGTTCAATTTCCAGAAGTAGGACTGCCTGTTCAAAGTAGTCGGGGCGCAGGATGTATTTGAAATGTTAGTAGAAGGCCAGGCCACCCTTAGATTAGAAAAACCTTTACAAGGATATTTGGTGTATATTTGGGGAAGAGGGAGAGTGAAGAAGAGCCCTGAGCTCCATGAGTGCCTCACTTATTTCAGCCCCAGTGCCTAGTATCGCTGATGTCACACAGTAAGTGCTCAGAAAGTATTTCATGCGTGAGTGGTATGATTTGAATGGATTTTGGACACCAGCCTAAGTAAGCTGAATTTAGGGTTTGGGTTTGCAATCAGTTTGACCCATGTGAAAACATCTCTGGGAATCATATAGGGTCCCAGATTATGTAAGGTATTTAGAGCTTTCTGGAGTCATCCCACCACTCCAGTTTTCTTGCCTGGAGAATCCCAGGGACAGAGGAGACTGGCAGGCCATGGCCCATAGGGTTGCAGAGAGTCGGACACGACTGAAGGAACAAACCACTAAGCACGCAGAGTCACCCCAGAAAGTTGTGTTCAATCTGAATTTCTCTCTGTACTTGGCACAGCCCTTGCTCACCAAGAATGTGTCATCAGTATATATTCTTGGTCTCTGGAATGGGTTTTAAGGCCTGACATCAGACACTGATGGGGTCAAAACAGATGTTTTTGACGTAGTTGTGCTTTGTTCTATTACAGCACATTTAGTACCGTGTTAATAGACATGAGCTTACACTTTTCAGCAGACACTGAAATGCCATTCCTTCCTTAGATTCCTGCTCCAAAGCGAGGAGAAGTAGTGAGACAGATTGGTGATGCCTTGCGGGAGAAGATCCAAGTACTAGGAAGCTTGGTAAAGTATTTTTGTAGTAAATGTATAGTACTGTGAGTGAAGAATAAGGCTATTTTGTACTTTTGTGTATAAGTGATCTTTTTAAGGTCATAATTTACGTATTTCACCTGGAGAAGGAAATGGCAACCCACTCCAGTACTCTTGCCTGGAGAATCCCGTGGACAGAGGAGCCTGGCAGGTAACAGTCCATGGGGTCGCAGAGAAGGAAAGACTGAGCAACTTCCCTCACTTATGTATTTCAAAAATATATATGTATATAAATTTGTAGCTTATATATTTCAAAAATCTTTTCTTTAGAGGAAAGATTAACAAGATGGATAGGAAAATGTGAAGACAGTTCTTGGGCTTTAAAATTCTTCAGAAAAATAAGAATAGACTGTGGTTTGTAACCCTCACAAAGCAGAAACAAAATGTTTTGCTTTCCCCACCTCAACTTTAATGTTTAAAGCATGAATTCTGTTGGAAAATTGCTGCTTGGTCTTTTGTATTTTTAGGTGTCTTTGGAGATGGGGAAGATCTTGGTGGAAGGTGTGGGAGAAGTTCAGGAATACGTGGATGTTTGTGATTATGCTGTTGGCTTATCTCGGATGATTGGGGGACCCATCCTGCCTTCTGAAAGTAAGCAGCGAAGTCAGTTCTGCTAAGTATTGCGCTCCAAAACAGAGAACTCCCCAAAATTCTCTGGTTGTGAGCAGTTTCCACAAAATACTTGTATATGAAAATGTTTTTAATCTCTTTACTAAGAAAGTCAAATTAAAACAGGTGAAAATAATCAGAGCAAGATGCTTAAACTTTTTAAATTTTTCAAGGTAAAGCTCAGTGTTGGCAAGTTCATGGGTGAGACTGATACTTTTTTATGGAGACTTTGTGAAGCAAATCACCAATCTTCTCTGGAAAACAGTTTGGGAAAATATCTATCAAAAAAACCTTAAATATTTAATGCAAGTTTCCAGAATCTTGATTTAAGTAAATAATCTGAAATGCAACTGAGGTTCAAGTATTAAGGTGTTCATTGTCCCATCAACAGGAAACAATAGAAATGACCTAAATGTCCAATCATGACAAAAGTTGAGCAAATAATTTTGGCAGTCTATTAGCAGATATTGTCAAGAGATCATAAAGACTGCCTTCCCCAACCGCAGACTTTATAGGAAAGTTGTACTTACTTATTTTTACTTTGTCTTCTTTTTTTATATATACTTACTTTTAGATTATTTTGATTTGAGAAGGTAGTATTTTTCATGTCACAAAATTAAAGAGGAATAAAAAGGTGAAGGAAGAAATATTTTCTTCCTCCCATTGGGATACTCCATAGTATTCCCGGGACCGTATCAAATGTTTCTGGTTTCTTGAGTATATCTTTCCAGAGCTTTTTCACCTGCAGACAGATATGTAGCAAACCATCTGTTCCATTTTATACTTTTTTCCTACTTAATGTATCTTAGAAATTGTTTCATATTGTTCCGATAAGGTGCTTCCTTCATCTTTTTTTTTTTTAATGGCTGTTCTGTTGTAAGGGTGACCAGTTCCCAAGTAATAGATATTTAGGGTGTTTTCAGTCTTGGGCAGTTAAACTGTGCTGCAACCTTGTCCTCAGTGATGGGGACAAGGGCTTACACAGTTTGTAGTGTTTGCCGTGTCAATGGAACAAACTGGGTGAATTCATGTGACTGTATTGAAACCACAGAGGTGGAAATCTCCTGAAGTGGTAAAGGTGGTTATCTGTCAAGGCAGAATTATTAGTGGTTGGTTTTGTCTGTCTTCTGTATTTTCCAAAGTTTCCACACTGGGAATTAGGTTACATTTATAATCAGGAAAAGACATTTTTAAAAAATCACGTTTTCCTGTTTCCTCTTGGAATATTGGACAAATTCCCTGCTGCTAGAAAGAGGGAGTTCTTTTCAAATGTACAGTTATTGTCCATAATTTGATATGTAGCAGCGAGTCCCATTAGCCAAGGTTAATTTTATATTGAACACTTTTCAGAGGTTGTTCAGAGTTAAGAAAGTAAACTGCCAATTTTTGGAAGTATATATGTGCAAGCAAGTAAGTTTGAATTTTATCTGCTGTAATGTCTGACTCACCAATTAAAATCCTTTTCAATTGTTTACACATTAAAAAAATAGATTATTCATTTATGCAGAAGCTCTTGGGTAACTTTGACTTCATTAATTCAATTAATGCTTGTCGAGTGTCTGCCAAGTGATCTAATAGGTAATACTTGGTTTGAAAAGTGTAGTCCTTTCCCTCAAGAAATGTATAAAGCTGTAGATTCCTTGCATTTTAATTTTGTTTATTTTTACTTATTGGCCACACGGCATGCAGAATCTTAACTTAGCTCCCCAACCAGGGATCAAACCTGTGCCCTGTGGTGGAAGCATGAAATCTTAACCACTGGGCTGACAGGGTATTCCCAGGGGTGGTTTTAAACTGGGAAGAAGCCTGTGTGGAAGCTTAAGATGGGAGAACTTGGCTTACTTGGGGAACTGTGTTACTTCAGCCCTGCCAGAGGGCGCAGTATGAAGGGAGAGATGGGTGGAGAAGGAACCTTGGGAAGGGACTTTTCCTGGAGTTTGGACTTTATCCTGAGGGCTGCTTCAGCAGTGATGGGGTTGCCAGAGTGTGGCCAGCGGGGGGAGTCCTGTCATCAGATCTCTGCTGGCTCCCTGGAGGGAAGGATGCAGAGGGGAGCGGCAGAGAGGAGGAGGCAGGCTCTGCGAGGAGGAGACTGTCCCAGCGTCACCTCTCCGGACAACAGGGCTCCCGGACTAAGGAGGAGCCTGGGAGTGCGGTGGGGCAAGTGGTGGGGTCCCTGTTCTCGCTGGCAGGGTGGGCATGGCCAGAGAGGTCGATGGCTGGGAGGGCGGCCTTCCTACTGCCTTTAGCCGGGTTTCATGAACCTTCGCGTTCCTCGCTCTGGTTCTTCACTGCTTCAGCTGCCTTTGATTAAAATAAGGCTCTTGCGGGGTGAGGTGGTCGGATGGCATCACCACCTCAGTGGATATGAGTTTGAGCAAACTGCGGGGGATGGTGAAGGACAGGGCTGCGGGGATGGTGAAGGACAGGGCTGCGGGGATGGTGAAGGACAGGACTGCGGGGGATGGTGAAGGACAGGGCTGCGGGGATGGTGAAGGACGGGGCTGCGGGGATGGTGAAGGACGGGGCTGCGGGGGATGGTGAAGGACGGGACTGCGGGGGATGGTGAAGGACAGGGAAGCCTGGGGTGCTGCAGCAGAGAGTCGGGCACGACTGAGCGACTGAACAAACAGCTTGTGGGATTATGGTGACTTAAGTTTGTCTATGAGATACAACTTTTATATTTTCAGTTTTCCTATAGGTATGTAAAGATGTGTACAGTTAATTCATTCAACGTTTATGTAATTATTAAAACTTTGCCCCCCCCCCCGTACGTGAGTCACTTTGTCCTGAATTTAGAGAGGTGAGCTGAGGGCTTCATCCGGCAGCGTCAGGAACACGACCCTGAGCGTCATGACTCCTGTGTCGTGGTCGTGCCTGCCCTTGGCGATCACATCACCGAGGACATGTCTCGTTTACTCTGAAGTTTCCTCGTCTCCCAGATGGGACTGGCACTGCCCTGATCCACACAGAGTTCCTTCGAGGAGTAGAGGCTTGATGGAGATCCTCATGGTTTATAAGACAGCCTGGTAATAACAGCGTTTGTTGTATGCTGGTGAATGTCCCAGTGTCCCCCAGCCGCGTGAGGTGATCTGCTGCAAAGCGTCTATAGTCCCCACGTGCTCTGGTGCATCTTTGTTCTGAAAGGGAAAGATGGCAGACTTTGTTCCTATGACCTCGACAGGCTTTTAATTAATGTGTTTAAGCCTGTTCCATGCCTTCTTCGTCCTCAGGACCTGGCCATGCTCTCATTGAACAGTGGAATCCTGTAGGCCTGGTCGGAGTCATCACTGCGTTCAACTTTCCTGTGGCCGTGTACGGCTGGAACAACGCCATTGCCATGATCTGTGGGAATGCTTGCCTTTGGTAAGAATGGCTCATTTTCCTAGCCAGTAGTTAGATGGTAGAAGTCTCCGTTTTCAGGTACTACTGAAAGTATTGCAAATGCATTGAAATGTTTTCTACTATTCTTTCCGTTAACATTGCAAGTGACACCTGCTAGTTGTGAAATGCTGGGTTTTAGTTACTTAATGGACATAGGGGCCTGGCAGGCCACAGTCCATGGGGTCGCAAAGAGCTGGACAGGACTTAGTGACTAAGCATAGCACACACACTGGTTTGAGTAACTCATGAGAATGGTCCACAGACCTCAAGGAAGTGCAATATTCAGTGGTTGCACTTTGATTGTAAAGGATACATTTAGGGCATGGTTTATAAGGGTTTCAAACACAGAGCGTCCCTGCCCTCTCCCTGTGAGGTCAGGACATGTCACTTTCACAGCCAGGGGGCTCCACTGAGCTTTGGCGGCGGGAACTTTTATGGGGTTCTTATGACTTTGGCACGATTGGGTAAATCATTGTACACGTGACTGAACTCAAGTCTTCCTCCTTCCCACCCCACGGTTGATCTTTCTCAACACCACCCCCCATCCTGAGGCTATCTTGTGGGGAGGGGCACCAGTTACCTCAGTAGCATAACAAAGGCCCTTCTATCATTCAGACAGTTCTGAGGTTGTTGATCCTGGGTGTGCCAGAAACTGGGAGCCAGATCCCTGAGAAGCTCCAGGAGTTGGTGATGAACAGGGTAGCCTGGCATGCTGCAGCCCATGGGGTGACCAAGAGTCGTACCTGACGGAACTAACCGAACTGAACACCAGATACAGTCTTCATTACGCTGCATTTCACAAACAGAAAACTAAATGAACAAGTAGGAGGGAAAAGAGAGCTTGTGATAAGGCACAACCTTCTTTTGGAAACACAATTCTTTTTTAATTCAATAAAAATTTAATAGTGAATTCCCAAGTGATTCTGAGGCACTTGGCCAGTATTCCCATGGCTGCATTAAATGTAACATTGCTGTGAAATATGCGATAGTAAAAGTTAGCTGGGGAAATGTCAGTATTTATAGATGACAAAACAGTTGCTTGCTTTTAGCTTTTGTGTTCAATGGAGGAACTTAAATCAGGAAAACCAGGAGAATTGTCTTTGTTCATTTTGTGTCTTCCCACTAACATGTACTGATCTTGATGGTGTTCTCAATTGAAGGTAGTCAAAGGCTATATAAGCACGGCATAGCTGGATTAATGATTCAGCATCATGTTAGGCAAGGAGTATGGTTTTCCTCAGCCCCCCGAGTCTTCCAGTGAAAGTTGCTGTTGATTGATCTCTGTTTTACTCAGTTTCCACAATAGACAGAGGTTAATGTAAAGTTCCTGTGATCAGTGCAGCAAGCAGGTTCAGAACGGCTCAGTGCCATTTTTATACTTAGGAAAGTTTTGTAGTCCCTTCGGCCCCAGAGGCACCAAGCTGACTTCTGTTGTTTATTAAGAACTTTTTTCTCACAAAGACCGTTGCTTCTGCTTAAAAATAAAAGGTATTTATGATTTTCACCCAATTAAGCTGCTTTTTTGTTTTTATTTTTTACTCTTACAAGGAAAGGAGCACCTACAACTTCCCTCATCAGTGTGGCTGTCACAAAGTAAGTATGTGTGGCTTTCTTTTTTCTGGGTCTGGGAGAATCTTAAAGGGTGATTGATAGGCACTGAATTTTTAACCTGACGTGAAAGTGTCGTATTTATTTTAGCATAGGATCTGGACAAACTCTGTTCTTTGATTGTGATAACATTTTTGTATCGTTATGTAGTTTACGGATCCTTTTCAGGGCCATGTCATTTAAGTCTTGGGAAACATGCCAGATACTGATATAAATGTTGAACTTGAACTCCTAAAACATTTCTTTTTGTCACTTGCAAAATAAAAACAAATCCAGTGGAGAGGAAATAGTCTTGCAATTTAGGGGCTATATGCTATAACTATGTAGCATGTTAATGGTCTTAATTTCTACTCAGGCTGATACTTTTATTGCTCTTGTTTAATAGACCTTAGCAAAACAAAAAAAGTGTTACACCATTCAACTGATTCTTCTGACACTGTCTAAAATGTATTTCATCTTTTGGTTAAAAATTACTGTTTTATTTATTCCTCTTTGGAAACATGATAACACTAGTTAAGTCATAAAATCAATGTTACCAATTTATCATTTCAGAAAATCACTTTCTGTGTAGGGTGATGATGGGCCCTTGATGATGCATTGTTTGCATGGCCTGCATTCTCTGAGAGTTATTGGCAGAGAGCTTGTGATGGAGTCTGTTCATAAGAGGGTACTTAATGTTAGAAGATCGTTTAGGAGCACTGACTTGGGAAGCAAAAAGTCAGCTAAGAGAGTAGTGTGTGTTAGTATTGAAAGGAATGTGTGATATTAAGGAAACAATGTCTTTCAAGGCAAGGGTTCAAATTAAATATTAAAAAAAACCATATACAAAACACACAAAAATGGTGAGATTCCCCTAGGCAATTTTTAAAAATAATCCTTAAAAAAAAAAACAAGCAAACAGTTAATATGAATGTGGTGAACTGACTTGCCAGTTGTTATAAAATAGCTGATTAAATTATTATTTTGATGTTCTCAGTTATTGCTTTGGTATTCTAAAACATAAAGTTATTCTTTGTGCTTTTAAATATTTATTTGGATAAACCTTTGAAGGAGAAGGCAATGGCACCCCACTCCAGACCTCTTGCCTGGAAAATCCCATGGACGGAGGAGCCTGGTAGGCTGCAGTACATGGGGTCGCGAAGAGTCGGACATGGCTGAGCGGCTTCACTTTCACATTTCACTTTTATGCACTGGAGAAGGAAATGGCAACCCAGTCCAGTGTTCTTGCCTGGAGAATCCCAGGGACGGGATAGCTCAGAGTCGGACACGACTGAAGTGACTTAGCAGTAGCAAACCTTTGAAAGGTTTGAGATGTTCATATAGGAACATGGCAGATGTTTTTTTTAGACAATTGAGAATATCATCTGATTTTTGTGATAGAAGACAGTAAGTTAAATGATGATATATTGTACTGGAGTTAACCAAAGGTATCATACCATCCACTGGGAGTTTTTATTTATCTTTTTTCACTGGGAGTTTTTAAATTCAGCTGCTGTTCAGACTCAGAAGATGACTACATATTGTACCTGTCTGTTCAGAAGCATATAGGACAGGAACATAGTTTTCTGGGAGGATAGCATTAGGTACAGGTATTTTTCTTCATTTGTTGTTTCTGGAGCAGTTTATTTGGGGCACAGGAGCTGAGATCTACACTGGATAGGGGTTACCTTGGCTTAGAGGCTCAATGCCCCACAGAAACCAGAAAGTCTTGTAGCAATTCTTGCATGCGTGGCTTTTAGCCACTCACGAGGGACATGTAGTTACAGAAGCCACTGCACTCAGAGAAGAGTGAAAGCATGAGGTTCCAGGCATAGTTCTCAGGTCATCATTCCAGTTTAGACGGGGGCTTGCTTTTACCATGAGCCATGGTGTCTAGATAGCATTGCTGACATTGGCGTTTATCAGATAAGCTGAGGAACGAAACTGAGGAGTTAACCCAAGGTCAGATTCTCATGAATTAGGGAAAGAGGGCTTGACTGACTTTTACCCACAGGTGCAAGGCAAAATGCCTACCCTTCAGGTGCAGTCAGCTGCTTGTGCAGACAGTAGATACACCCTGAGTCCCTGGAGAGAATTATGCAACCTGATCCTTAGCCTCAGACATGACAACTACAGTGTGTGATCCTTGATGGGTGGAGGAAAGAAAACAGCTGTAAAGGACATTTTGGGGGCCAATTGGAGAATTTACTTGGGTATGATAATGGTTATCTTTTTTATGGAAGTGGGTATAGAATTTAGATCTTTATGAAATTTCAGGTAGAAAGTAGCCAGTAGCTTGGGGTAATGGATCAAAAGAATTTTTGCCCCATTGAGGCACCTGCTTCTCAGGAAGCTCAAAATCAACAAAAGAACCGTGTTTCAGAGAAATCGGAATGACTGGAGCCATATTTTACAACTTAAAATCAGATTTAAATAGCATTGAACTATATGTCTCATTTTGACTCTAACAGCCTAAGTTGTAAGCAGCAGACTAAGAAAAGACTGCTTGTCCACCTTACTTTAGTCTGGTGGGTGGGGCTCTATTTCCTGACTAAGAGGTTGGTGGACATTAGTGCTGAATTTCTTCGGGGTTCTGCAGGCAGGTCCTGCACCCTCTGCTGTTTCCTCCACATCCCCTCTTGGTTTGGGGAGCCTTTTTCCCTTCTCATCCTTTACCATTTCTCTAGCTGGCTCTGGTTGGAAGAGATGCGGCCAAACCTCTCATGACTAATGGGAACTATCCTTCATTTTCTTCGTCTTTCTGGGTTTTCTTCCATATATCCCTTTTAATTTTTTTAACATTATTTTAATGGGTTTTTGGTAAGAAAGGGCTCCCGCACCTGCCCCCAAAAAGCCCTGCAGTCAGTTTACCGCTTTGAACCAGATGTCTTCAGAGTTGGGCAGAAAATATTTGAGAACAGTGATCACTTGAACTTCCTGACCAATGCTTTAGGTCTTTTATATATTTTGCCTGTCTTCTTCTGAAGTTTCTTTTAGGGGGAAAAAAAAAGTTCTGCGTTTAAGTGTTTGAAAACCTCCCCTAATATCTGAGGAGAAATCTAGGCCTAGATATTTGAGGGATGGGAGAGAAAGTTGAAAAAGGAAAGCCAAGTGATTGGAATTTATTATTTTTCCAAATACGGTAAATTAAATCGATCCCTTCCTTAGAATTGCCCTTTCTTTTCTAGGATAATAGCCAAAGTTCTGGAGGACAACAAGCTGCCTGGTGCAGTTTGTTCCTTGACTTGCGGTGGAGCAGATATCGGGTAAGTCAGCAGACCCAGAGTGTCTTTCTGCTGAAGGACCTGGGAGGATCACCTAGAGTCATCTTTACTAGAATTTCAAAACCCAGTATAGCGGAGGAGGTGAGAGTGGCGTTTTGAAATCTTTACTGTTACGGATCTCACTGGGCTTTACTTCGTTCATATGTAGCTGTTGTTGGAGGGTGAGTGAGAATTACGTTTTTCATTGCCCTGAGCTGCTATTGTAAGGCGTTTGTGTTACACACTGCTGTGCCAGCGTGCAGCCTGTGGTTTCCTGATGCTTGATTTATCAATGTGCTCACTTACAAAGCAGAACTGTGGGGTTGTGATCTGGTGTCTCATCCCCACCAAGGACACATAGCCTATTCTCTGGGTTCCCCCGTGACCAAAGAAGGGAACCCTGGAGACCCAACTTCTGATTTATTGTTTTTCAAAAGTTGCCATGTAATTCACATACCATAAAGTTCTCTCTTTAAAAATGTACAATCCAGTGGTTTTTAGAATAGTCACAGTGTTGTGCAGCCATCCTCGTTACCTTGTTCCAGAACATTTTTGTTACCCTCGCCTCAAAAGAACCTGACACCCACAGCAGTCTCTTCCGTCCCTCTCCCCTGGCAGCCCCGCTTGTACTTCCTGTCTCTGTATTTGCCTGTCTGGGGTGTTTCTTATAAATGGAATCATACAGCACGTTGCCTTTGTGTTTGGCTTCTTTCACTTGGCAGAATGTCACAGCCTCTTTTTCAGCTGAAACGGACTATACTTTCTCTGAACCATGGTAAAAGCTGGTTCTACTGGCCTGGACTTTTTCTTAGTTGACATGTCCTAGGAGTCAGGTGTTAGAACCTTTACTGGTATGGTAAAAGTCTTACTCTTGTCTCCATCTATTGTACTTAATGGGCAGTCTCAAAAAGGAGTAGTAAAGGCTTTTTTTTAGATAAGGGAGAACATTTTAGAAATTTCTATTTAGAAAATACAACTCCCATATAAAGAGTGCATATAGTGAAGTATTNATGAACATTGGGGTGCACGTGTCTCTTTCAGATCTGGTTTCTTTGGTGTGTATGCCCAGGAGTGGGATTGCTGGGTTATATGGCAGTTCTATTTCCAGTAAAACATGACATTTAAAACATGTCTACCCTTTGACCTACTCTGTTCTTGTCCTCAGGACGTGCAGTCCTGCAAGCTGGCCTTGGTGTAGCTCAGGTGATAACAGGAGTGTGTGCACGGGGACGTTAAGCAGCGTCCCCCGTGAGTGGCAGTGCCCACGTGTGCTGGCCTGACCTGGGGAAGCCCGCAGGCACAGTGTCATCAAGCGTTTCCAGCCCTGCGTTGGTCTGAGCCTGTGTCTGTCTTGCTTGGCGCACACCACACCCTTTGAAGCACTCAGCTCTAAGCAAGGAGGTTCAGATTGACCATGTCTGGTCTACCTTCCTTAGAAACTGGAGATCCTAGCACAGACTTTCTAAGTCAGCTTCCATGAGGGATGATTAGGATATTTCCCTACAGTCTTTGCACTTTTAATTCTTTTTCGAAGATATTTTTTAATTATTTTATTTTGAAGAGTTTATTTGTTTTTGGTCAAGCCACGTGGCATGCGTGGATCTTGGTTCCCTGACCAGGGATTGAACCCGTGCACCGTGCATTGGGAGCATGGAGCCTTAACTACTGGACCACCAGGGAAGTCCCTAAACTTTTAATTAAGAGACTTCAAAATAGCTGAGATGCTCATCAAGGAAATGCTACCGTTGAAATGTCCAGTCACGCATCAGTACAAGAAGGACTATCTTCCTTACCAGCATCCTTGAAGTGATTTCTGTTTATGGAGAGCTCCCGGAGCGGGTTAGGCACTGTCAGAGGCCCCTGTTGCTGGGTTTCTCTGCTTGCGTGACCGTGTCTGTTCCCCTGCAGCACAGCTATGGCCAAGGATGAGCGCGTGGATCTGTTGTCCTTCACCGGGAGCACGCAGGTGGGAAAACAGGTGGCCCTAATGGTGCAGGAGAGGTTTGGTAAGTGCTGGCTTTATAACGAGCATTTTAATACCCTCAACTATGGATGTGTAATCTAAATCTTGGGTTTTTTCCATGGATTATTTGACTGACTGTCCAAGTAAAAGAAAAGATATAGTTAATAGTGGGTTAATATTACCAGCAGATATATATCCATAATTTGGAAAAGGATGTCATTCCCTCCCTAACTGACTGTAGTAGAATCATATCAAATGTATTTATTAACCTGTATCAGACCGGTTTAGCAAGTAAAAAAAGAAAACTCACGATTTAAACAGGACTATTCAGAGTACAGGACCCAGAGTGAATGCAGTGTAGAAGGCTTGCGTCTGTTCGTCTCTCATTAATGATGTAGCGCTCGGTGGCGTTTGGTGATGACGGCCCCATCCCCATGTAGCTTAATATCCGCTTGATGCTTAGGCTTCCTGGTGGCTCAGTGGTAAAGAATCCACCTGCCACTGCAGGTCTCGTGTTTGATCCCTGATCCAGGAAGATCCTGCGTGCCTTGAAGCAGCTAAGCTGTGCGCAACTATTGAGCTGGTGCTCTTGAGCGCAGAAGCCACAACTACTGAAGCCTACAGGCCCAAGAGCCCAGTGTTCTGCAACAAAAGAAGCCACCTCAGTGAGAAGCCTACACACTAGAGAGTAGCCCCCTCCATCTGTAACTAGAGAAAAGCCTGTGCGGCAAGGAAGACCCAAGAGAGCCAAAAATAAATTAATTTTTAAAAAAATCCTTTAAAAATAAAAATCCATTTGATGCTTAACTGTTTCAGAGTAGTGGAGGTGAGAACATATTCTTCTGTTTCACATATGCTCCTAACATCACAAGTAATTACAAGTTACTTACATACAAGCTGATTTTGAAGTGCAGTTAAGAAAAAGTAAATATATATGTAAAAGATCAGTAGTAAACACAGCTCTAAGTTGAGGCAGGCAAATCTCAAGTCTCGGCGCTCAGGAGTGTACAATGAGAATGGTGTACATAGCCTCCTGTATACCCTCCTGGCATGTAACCTGGCAGTGTGCATCAGGAGCTCTAATATCCATACCCTTTGGCCCTGACCTAAGCAGGTAATCGAGAGGTAGGTAATCAATAACCAGTATATTTAACACTAGAGAAGTTAAATAAAAGTTGGCTTATATCATTGTGATGGAATGCTTTATTGTGGTGTTTAAAAAAAAACTCTTAATTTAGAGAAAAGGTATAGGTTTTTATTAAGGAAATAAATCAAAATTGATTATTATGATCTCAACTGAATATAGATGTATAGGAAAGAGATTGGAAGGCACTGTATCAAATTATGAGGAGAGATTTCATGGTAATTTGTGCCATGCCTTTGGCTTATTTGATTCTTTTTTGCTTTTTTTCCCCCAAATTTCTACAATGAGCACATAATTTTTAAACTTTTTTATTATGGTAATATATATGTATATATATATATATAACAAAACAACATTTGATTTATATATATATATACACACATTTTTAACTGTACAGTTCAGTTGCATTAAGTACATTTGCACTTATATTGTTGTGAAACTGTCACCATCATCCATTTCCAGAACTTTTTTTGTCGTCCCAACTCTCTACCCATTAAAAACCAACTCCCCATTTTTTCCTTCTCCTGGCCTTGGGAACAAGCATTTTGTTTTCTGCCTCAGACTTGACTATTCTAAGAACCTCCTCTTAGAAGTAGAATCATAACAGTAGATGTCTTTCTGTGTCTCAGTTATTTCACTTAGCATAGTATCTTCAAGGTTTACCCATGTTGTAGCATGTGTCAGAACTTCCTTTTTAAGACTGAATAATAATCTATTGTGTGGATATACCACTGTTTATCTATGCATCTGTCGGTAGATACTTGGTTGATTATACCTTTTAGCTATTGTGAAAAATGCTGTTGCAAATACTACTCAGGTCCCTGTTTACTTCTTATGGTTAAGTACCCAGAGTGGAATTGTTAGATCTTATGGTAGTACTGTGTTTAAGTTCTTGGGAAACTGTCAAATTGTCATATAATTTTCCTCAGTGACTCTACCATTTTACACTAACTGTTTGGAGTTTAAGGGGATATAATTTCAAGCTTAGAGAAATTCCAAGACTAACACAAAGAATCTATATACTCTTCAATAAGTTTTACCAGTCACTTGCCCCATTTTTAAAATCACTTTCTCTTCAGCAGCTCACACACACATACACACATAAAAACACATATATACAGTGAGAGTATGTTGTTTTTGAACCTTTTGAGAAAGTTGAAGACATTGTATTCCTTTAAATGTGTTTCTGTATTTCCTCAGAACAAGGACTTTCTGTCATATAACCATCATACAGTTATTAAAATCAGTCATGTTGACATTAATGCAATGCTCATTCTTTTTTCTTTTCCTTAAGGTACAACTGATTTATGCTCATGCTATATTTTAAATCTGAAAGTCAAACAAATGGGATAGGCTGTGGTTTGCAGGTGTGTGTGCAATAAACTGAAATAGGCATTAATTAGTATTTGTATATTTTTAAAGGGAGAAGTTTATTAGAACTTGGAGGAAACAATGCCATTATAGGTAAGGCTGCCTTTTTTGTTTGTTTTCTGGTCGGCATATCTTCACTAGTCATCCTGAATGTGTAGAACTCGTGTGAGAACTCATCTGTTGTGTGTTGTCTGAGATCTAAGTCCCGTGCGTGGGAACTTTTCCTTATGAGATAGAACACAGTGTGTTCTTGTTTGGAAAATGTTACCAGGGGCTTAGAACCTGTGTGTGAGACTTTCTAATGTGGCATGTTTCTTGTTCTCCTATTTTTTTTTTTAAAAACTGGCCACATGTTTCTCTAGAATAAACAAGTCACTCTTATATGATCTGTTTCCAGAAATACTAGTTTGTCTTCAGTGGAATATTGCGTGCTTTTATATTGGGAAGGAACACTTCCTTAAGGTATTTATCATTTAGCTGTAGTCTTAGAGATTATTTAATTCTCTTTTTCATTTGTTTGATACAAAAGGAAATAGTCCACCAGCATAACTTCTGGATAATATAATGAGTATCAGTTGGTTGAGACGTCATAGAATCATGAATTTTATGATAAAAAACTTCCTAATTGTACATTGCTATCACTATGTGTTTAATGCTTTTGTGTTTGTGGGGGACACCAGGAATAGAAAAAGTGTGTGATGAAGGATTTGTTCTGGGTGAACTTCTAATCTTGTAAAAGGGAGCTGATTAAAAAATACAGTTAGCATTTAAAATCACTAGGCATTTGACAAGGATTGTGATAAGCTGTTTCATATGCCATATGTCATTTAATCCCCACAATAGTCCCATGAGGCAGATACCTTTATTAATTTCATTTGAAGGTTACACTTAGGCTTAAAACAATATGTGCCTAAAGTGACAGAATCAGCATTTCTATCCTGGCAATCAGACCCCAGAGCACAGCTCTCTTTCTAAAACTCCTTCCTATCGTCCATTAATACCCCAGATAATAGTATTCCATTTTATGGATGAGGAAACTGAGGCTTAAAAAGGTAAAATAACACAACTAAAAAAGGGATGGGGATGGATAAGAACCTTGGTCTGTTTGGTTGTACAAACTGCCTTCTTAACCATCACTTTAGTCTGAGAAGGCTTTTAGACTGGACAGGGGAAAAGTGAGGATGTAAAAGGCAATTGGGACTGTAAGTTTATGGAAGGGGTGGAAAGGAAGGAGTTATAAGTAATACAGTATATCACTGGAAGGGTTAATCTTGTAAAGATGATGCTAGTTTTTTCTTCAGAGGGCAGAAGAGTAGGAGGAAGAAATATAGACAAAAGGGGAGAGGAATCTGGAGGTGATTTTGCGTTGATCTCTTCAGTTGGAAGCAGGAAAGGGCTTGGTGTGTGATCCCTCCAAGATTTTTCTTGAAGTGCAGGGTGAGGTTATCTGGTGCAGGAGGAAAGGGCACGAGGGGTTTGAGAGATTTGAAAAAACTTCTGTTGAGGGGGGAACACGTGGCATTTAAGGGAATGGACTGATGCCGGTGAGGGTGTCGATACTGTTAGAGAGCTTGGTTTGATGGTGGTAATAAATCAGAAGGGTCCCGATGGGCTGTCTGGCCCAGGGAAGCTGCCATTGTAATTGGCCGTGGGGTTGAGGATGGAGGCAAGTAAAACTGACAAAGACAACGGTGTCTTAGAGGCGAGATCACATGGGTGCAGACAAGGCTTAGTCAGCACCAGAAACTCCCGAGAGGTGAAAGATAAAGCAAGTCAAAATAGGATGAGCTCATCGCTCTATTCTCATATCATTTTCCCTGGGATAGGAGTTGCCTCTGCAGCGTGAACCTGCTCATCTTACAGAAATAGCTCTGATGTTCTCTTCCTGCGCTTCCTAGAGGCATCATCTTACACCATTTAGCGTCAAGTACCGTGTCTGCCTCCTCCACGACACTGATGGGTGTGTTTTGTTTCCCTAAGCCTTTGAGGACGCGGACCTCAGCTTAGTCGTCCCCTCGGCTCTCTTCGCAGCCGTGGGGACAGCCGGCCAGAGGTGTACCACCGCGAGGCGCCTGGTGAGTGTCTGCATGGGCGTGCGAGAGTGTCCTGCTTTTCCATTGCCATTTTTTAACACGCTGTACCATTCAGGAAGTGTGACAGAAGCGCTCCTAGAAACCTCTGCTTCTGAACATAGTTTAACTCTCCTACTCTGTTCTGTGCTCATGGCGCGTTCTGCTGGTCAGCCAGGGTCTCTGCTTAGCTCTGCCCCAAGCTGCATGTGGTCCAGCCCTCACTGGAGTCGGACTTGGGAGATTAGACCTGCTTTCAATCCTGCACCTGACAATGTGGACAGAATCCCATGCCACTTAGAGAATAAAACAATCTAAACACCCTGTGGGGTCGCAAAGAGTCGGACACAACTAGAGCCTGAACAACAACAAAACATTTGAAAAATTTGAAACTGTTTGCTAAAAGAAAGGCAATTTTGGCTTTTTTATAAAGACATTTTAAGTTGTAAAATATTTTAAAAATTAAAAGATTTGGGCCTGTAAGTCAAGTCTTGGATTTGACTCGATGTGACATAATTTTCTGGAAAGTAAATGTATGTGTATTCTCTCTTTAGAAATGTCTAAGTCTGTACACATAGTGTATACAGCATGTAAATATTAAGTGAATATGATGAGAGTGGTTTCGCTTCAGTGTTTGGGGCTTGGGAAGTTTAATATCCACCCTTAGTTTTGGACTGGATTTTAAAATGTTTTTTTCTGGGATACAACCTTGATTTTCATGACTCGTCCTACTGGAAACTTGTGAACAATGTGGACAGAATCCCATGCCACTTAGAGAATAAAACAATCTAAACACCCTGTGGGGTCGCAAAGAGTCGGACACAACTAGAGCCTGAACAATAACAACAAAACATTTGAACAATTTGGAACTGTTTGCTAAAAGAAAGGCAATTTTGGCTTTTTTATAAAGACATTTTAAGTTGTAAAATATTTTAAAAATTAAAAGATTTGGGTCTGTAAGTCAAGTCTTGGATTTGACTTGATGGGACATAATTTTCTGGAAAGTAAATGTAGGTGTATTCTCTCTTTAGAAATGTCTAAGTCTGTACACATAGTGTATAGAGCATGTAAATATTAAGTGAATATGATGAGAGTGGTTTCGCTTCAGTGTTTGGGGCTTGGGAAGTTTAATATCCACCCTTAGTTTTGGACTGGATTTTAAAATGTTTTTTTCTGGGATACAACCTTGATTTTCATGACTCGTCCTACTGGAAACTTGTGCCAAACAAGTTTTGATTAAGCAGAAAATTTGGCTACCTTTGCCTTTTAAAAAATGATTATTGTTGAGTTTTCTTCCTGTCATTAAAAAAAAAAATTCAAATTATGGAGGAATTAGCTTTGGGTTTTTCCTCTCACCCACAATAAATGTGAACGAATTCTTTATAAGATTAGCACAATCTAAATTAGTTAGAATAAGATAAGAAAATAGGGAAATTGAGTCTTTACTTTTGCCATGACTTCTCATTTTCACTCTTCCTGTATTTTACAATGGATGAATATCAGTCTTTTCTTGGTTTTTACATTATTCAGTTGAAGTTCTTAAAAACATCTAAGCTACAATGTTCATAAAGTACTTACAATTTTTTAAATTTGTTCACCTTAAGCATTTATTACGTTAAAGCTTAGAAGGAAACAGGCATACTCCAAAATATTACAATCTTAATTACATGACAAACTATGAAATGATGTAAATGTCAAGCATTTCTTTATTTGGTTAACTTTTGTTTTTCCTTTGTGTCCTGGAGCAAATATGCATAGCTATGCTTTCTATTAAGTGTCAAATATTAAAGGATACTATTGGTCATAACCCAAATCAGTTTCTATAGGGACAGTAGTAGTCTTTAGAAAAATCCACTCCATTACTACACACCTCTGTATGATTTATCATTGGCCGTCTGTTTCAACCAACTGTGAACCATGTANCTGCTGAGGGCATGGGTTCAATCCCTGGCCAGGGAACTAAGATCGCCCACAGCTTCACAATGTAGCCGGAAAAAAAAAAAGGCTACAGGAAAAAAAGAAAATTGTACATTTTTAGCAATTTTTTGCATTAATTTGTACTATTTATATATACTGTTAATAGTGCATTTATATTTCCTAATCCCTTGAATGTTTCTTCATTTAGTTCTTACATGAAAGCATCCATGATGAAGTTGTCAATAGACTTAAAAAGGCCTACGCACAGATCCATGTTGGGAACCCTTGGGACTGTGAGTATCTGGTTGATATCAGAGATTTTCTTTTTAACTGCTGGTGTTAATAAGAGTTCCTGGTTTTCTACTTATATATATATATATTTTTTTTTTTTTTCTCTCTTTCCTGAGAGGCCCAAGGGACTATGAAGCAGGTTATTATTGGGCAGTTAGGGTGACAAATCTGCTCCAAGTTAGGATCTGAGTGTTTCATGTGAGTTGGTGGATGAGCTTGGGATATGATCTTGAGGTGGGGTGAGTTTGATGAGCTTCTCCTTTTCCATTTCCCTCTTTGGAGTTAGCACCATCCTCCCTCCGGCAAGGTAGCGAGAGGCACCTACCTGACTTCTCTGCTTCCATTTCTGCCTTCCATCATAACCAAAGCAATTTAAAAAATGTAATTAGATAGTTCACTCTCTTGCTTAACACATTCATTGCTTTTGGACTATAATTTCGATGCCTTTGGAGCCCCATTTTAGCACGTTTATGGTCTTGCATGGTCTGACCTCGTTGCCCGCCCTGACCCCCTTTGCCCCCTTAACTTGTTCACGACTGCTGGGCCTATGAAGTTCTTAGAGAATAGTCACCCTGTAGTGAGTAAGCAGAGCCTATATTTTGACTGCTGTGCTCTGATGAATTGATAGCTCTTTGCCTAGATTTGACCCTCCATGTTTCTCTATAGAAAGCTTATGAGCACTCAGTCATACCTGCTTTTTTGCGTATCTTCCGTGGCTGCTTTTGCACTGCATTGGTGGAGTTGAGTGGTCATGGCAGAGACCACATGTGTCACACCAAGCATTAAATAGTTACTGTCTGGCTCTTTGCAGAGAAAGGTTGCTGAAACCTCCTGCTCTAAGCCGAAGTGATATATGAAGGGATTGGTCTGCTCATTGGGATAGCTGTTAGAATAATAAAATGATGCCTTTTCGGGTGAAATGAAGAGCATTCTTTTTTTCTCTCCAGCTAACGTCCTCTATGGGCCACTCCACACCAAACAGGCAGTAAGCATGTTTCTTGGAGCAGTGGAAGAAGCAAAGAAAGAAGGTGGCACCGTTGTCTATGGTGGCAAGGTAATGACCACTTGAGATCAGGACTTTTCTTTTCCTTTTGCACACAAGTAGGCTCTGGGTAAACTGATGAAGTATCCCTGACTGCCAGCTTTCTTTTCTGCATTCCTTTTGTAACAGGGAAGTAAGTACATATTTGAAAGAATGACAATCTAACACACATGGAACATTTCTGAAAAGACATAACTCAGAGCCAAGGTTATCTTTGCATTGAGTGCCTGGCAGTTTGTATGGAAGGAAGATGAAGACCTCTTTTTCATGGTACAGGGGAAGACTGTATTCAGTGCAGTTTAAATCCACATTTAGTAGTGATTTTTAAGTCATTTAAGGTGGAGAATCAAAAAAATACACACTGCAAGCATTTTAATTTGACACATATTACTGTTGTCAATGGAAAATTAAATAGTTGGTTTAAGAAAGAAATGGAAAATTTTATTTGAGCCAAGTTGAGGATTATAACCCAGGAACAGCATCTTGGAAAGCTCTGAGAACCGTTCTGCCTATTAGAAAGTCAAGGCAGTTATAAAAGTATTTTAAACAGAGGGCTATATATTAAATGACAGTTTACACAGTCTAGAGAAATGTCATCATGGCTCCTTACAAGATAATGAAGGAGTGTTGTATTTTAGGAATTGTATCATTGGTGCTAGGAGAATGTTTGCTCTTTATGGTTGAGCAGATATTTCTGCTTATGGGGAGGTTTGGTGGACACATAATACAGATACACAATGCACAGTAGAGGGGAGAGAGGAGGCCATAGGGCAAAGAAAGCTTTTGATGGTTAAATTTTTCTTGTCTTGATGTAAAATATGAATTTCATTTCACATTCTACTTGTTTGATTCTTGAGATGTAGCTCCAAGGCATTTTTTTCATGTACGATAGAAATTTGTCTTCATTCTTGAATAAGCCATAAGTATCATTTATTATCTACAATGTATTTTCAGTTCTTTAAAAATTACAGTGAACTGAGTCTCTCGCAAAGCTTTCTGAGGGCAGAATCCTTCTCTTAACACTGACACACCTACATTTCACCTGATAGAGATGTATATGCATGTTTGTATTTTTGTTACTTATTTACCTTGAGCTTTTTTAAGCATATAACTTAATCTTTTTAGAAGTAACTTTTCCCCCTCTTGGGTAATATTTACTTAAGGTACACAATGCAGTATAGGATTACAGTAACAAATATAGCTGCTGCATATGGAACTGGGAGTAAATACAGATGACGCTTGGTAAACATACAGCTCAGAAGGTGTGAGCAGAATGGTACAGGCACGCTGGAGAACCGACCACTGGCCGAGCAGCTTGCTGCCGGCATCAGAATATTTTATAGAAGTTACGTGGAGATGAACTAGCAATTTGGTTACGTGGAGCTCAGTTGGGTGGGTGTCTACAGCATGTCCTTTTGGAGCTTTAGGTTTCTGAGTTACTGTATGTTAGTTTGCTAGCGCTGCCATAACAAAGCATCACAGACTGGGTCGCTTAAGCAACGCGTTTATTGTCTCACAGTTCTGGAGGCTGAGTCCAAATTTGAGGTGCTGGCAAGTTTGGTTCTTCCTGATGAGGCCTCTGGCTTGCAGGTGGCCACTTCCCTCAGTGTCTTCACGTGGTCTGTCTGGAGAGAGGAGGTCTTGGTGTCTTGTGGAATTAGTTCTGTCTGATAAGGGCCTCACCCACATGGCCTCTTTTAACTTTGACTCCTTGAAGGTCCTGTCTTCAAACTTAGTCACAGTGGAGAAGGTGAGGTTTAAGGCTTCAATGTAAGAATTGGGAAGGTGGTGGTGGGTGGGGTATGTTGTAACAGGATGGATATAGATTACCTCTTTAAAAATTATGTGGAGTTTAAAATAGCCACCTGTAGCCACATTTTTTCACTGTAACTTGGTCATGATGCATAGCCCAGCTCTCTGTCCTTGACCCTTTTTTCTTGTCTTTTTCTGACCAACTAAAGTTAGAACCAATAGGTGGCAGAGAAATTTTCATTCATGATGGGAAGTTATTTTGGAGAAATAATTCACTTATAAATGATACTTTTTTTTTTTCCCCAAAAGTATAGGCATGTGACTTCCCTGGAGGTCCAGTGGTTAAGACTTCACATTCCATTCAGGGGTGTGGGTTCAATCCCTGGTTGGGGAGCTGAGATCCCACATGCCCCGTCAAAAAACCGAAACATAGAACAGAAGCACTAATGTGACAAATTCAATAAAGACTTTAAAAATGGTCCATATCAAAAAACAAAAACCCTTAAAGTACAGGCAAAGATGGTATCCTCTGAACCAAAGAATCAAAAACAAATGTTCTTGATTTTATTTCTTTTCTCTGCTGCAGGTTATGGATCGCCCTGGAAATTACGTAGAACCAACAATTGTGACAGGTCTTGACCATGACGCATCCATCGTACACACAGAGACTTTTGCCCCGATTCTTTATGTCTTTAAATTCAAGGTAAAATGTGGATTCCTTCTCTCTTTTCTCTAGTTTAATGTTGAAACAAATGAGAAGACCAGAAGAAAATAAAGGCATATTAAATTTCACTCAGTCTTTTGGGGAGGTTTTATAAAATGACTCTGATTAGTAGAGATTTGAAAGTTAAGGACAAAATAGAATGATCTGAACACTTTAAGCAATAAAACATGTTAAGCTAGATGCCAGGGGAATTGAGACAAGCCAAGGGCCAATGTTGAAATTGGTGGAGAATGTGGCCCACATTGTCTGTATCACCTGATTCTGAGCCGTGTACGCTATGTAATCATCTTGTGCACAAAAGGGACATTTGTTTTTGATTCTTCGATTCAGAGGATACCATCTTTGCCTATACTTTAAGGGTTTTTATTTTTTATATGGACCATTTTTAAAGTTTAGTCTGAGTGCTCAATATCAGTGGACAAAATGAGAAGGTAGAAATGTACAGTTACAACCTGTGTCAGAGGACAGGCTACAGAGGTTTCAGCAGATGTAGGTGTCTAGAGGGTCTCCTTCCTCACGTGCAACAGGCCCTACTCTGCCAGCAGAAGCTTAGAGATTGAACCGAGGCTTGGCTACTGCGATTAACAGTTAAAGGGTAATGAGACATACCTTGTTGCAATGATGTGATTGCATGAATTAAAATCTTGCTTTAAATTGTCTATTTTTGCTCCACATAATGTGACTATAAATTGTAATGTCATGTTTTGTCATGTGTCTACATGTTTGAGTTCCTGAGCATATCATTTAACCCCTCTTGCCTAATCTGTAAATTTGGGATAACATTGAGCCTGCATCATTGGCTGAGAATTAAATATATAAATGTATGTTCAATGTCATTGTGTTTGTGTTGCATGTACTAAGGGCTTAGTAAATAATAGATCTTGTATGTAGTGGCATGAATGGAAGAATGTACTTGTGTATGTGTGTGTTTTAATATTTATTTATTTATTTGGCTTTGCTGGGTCTTTGTATGGAAACTCTTAGTTGCAGCATATGGGATCTAGTTCCCTGATGAGGGATGGAACCCAGATCCCCAGCGTTGGGAGCTCTGAGTCTTAGCCACTGGACAGCCAAGCACGTCCCATTATATGTTTTTCTCAAAGTTCATTTGAGGGGAAGATCTCACAAAGCACTATATTAGGAAGATGTTGACTCCTTAGTTCCCCTACGATTATACTGGTAAATTTTATGGAATGAGTTTACCATTAGCGATTGGACCTGACACTGTATCATCTAACAGCTTCCAATGTCTGTCCTTTTAGAATGAAGATGAGGTCTTTGCGTGGAATAACGAAGTCAAACAGGGACTTTCAAGTAGCATCTTTACCAAGGATATGGGCAGAATCTTTCGCTGGCTTGGGTATAACTTTGTCTATTTTGAAAATGTATATAAGTCTTATTTGTGTGGTGAATCGACTTTACAAAAAAGAAAATGAAGCCATCATAGGTGAAAATCTGTTTTTTAGCATTGAGAATCTTAGAAGTTTTGTTCGGCTTATTTATTTATTCATTTTTGTATATATATATGTATATATATATATTTTAAACTTCCCTATATTTTGCTTTCACTGTGCCTCCCTTTTTATATACGCAGACCAAAAGGATCAGATTGTGGCATTGTAAACGTCAACATTCCGACGAGTGGGGCTGAGATTGGAGGTGCATTTGGTATGTAGAGAATGCTTTTTCCTTTACCATGTTGGACAACTCGTGTGAAACATTGTCTGCCAGGAAAGCATAGAGACTTGGTATCCAAAGCTTTTATTAGGAGTTGGTCACACAGGCATGCAAGGCCTAATGTGCCCCCAAATTTCAGACTCTCAGAAGGAAAACAGGTATTAAACATGAACTACATTGTTGGCCCAGTGAGACCGTATGGGGAACTGGTTAGCCTGTAAATTTCCAGATGCTAGCGGCATTGTAAACAGATCTGCTGTGTATTTTCTGCACAGATTGCAACTTTTCTCAGACTTTGAAGTTATAAATTACTTGTCTTCTGGTTTCCATTACTGTAGGTGATAACCCCAATCCACTTTGATTTCTGATCTTCCCCCTCATTTCAAAAGTTTGGGGTCTGTTATTTATGTCTGATGTTCTGAAATGCTTCAGTAATATGCCTCAGTGGAGATCTTGGTAAAATTCTTGTTGCACAGTCAGTGGGCTAGTAATTGGCCTTAGCATCGGAACTCACAGATTTTAGTTGTGGAAAGTTTTTGATAGTTTTGTTTTGGTGGTGTTTGAGGTTTTTTCCTTTGATTTTTTTCTGTTTTAATTTTTAGAACTCCTGTTATTTGAATGTTATCTCTTGAAGAATTATCTAATTTTTTTTTCCCCTTTATCTATCTCATTAGTCTTTTTGAGAGATTTCTTCAAACTTTTCTTCTAATCCTTCTCTCAAGTTTTTTCTCTTACAAAAAACAATATTAAGTGTACTTTGATAGCATACTTTTAAATGTAACCTTTTCTTGTTTTGTGAAATCATTATCTTTTTATAATCTCTTTTAAAATATTAAGATAACATTTGAACATTTTATTATAAGATCAGTTTATGTACATTTTAGAAAATTATATACAGATAAGCATCAATGGGAAAATAAATTATATTTCCCTTGTCTAGAGGTTTCTACTCTTAACATCTTGGTCTAATGGTAAGGTTTTTTTAAGGTTTCCTTCTGATGCTTGATATTTCTATTTTTTGTTAATTCCTTTAACTTTATTTTCCAAAGTAGTTCTCTTTTTTGTGTTTATTTTGGTCTCTGTCTTTTATTTATTTGTTTGCAAAGGAGCTACTCTGGCCACAGGTGAAGTAACTGGTCAGGTAGCTCTGGTCCCCTGGTGTCTTCATTTCCATGATACTGAGTAGGAGCCCACACAGGCGCTGCCATATGTATACACACACACACACATATACATACGCTATGCAGAGAGTCACGAGCTATTTGTGCACTTCTCTAGGAGGGGAGAAACACACTGGCGGGGGCAGGGAGTCGGGCAGTGACGCCTGGAAGCAGTACATGAGAAGATCTACTTGGTAAGAGAAGGCTTTGGGGAAGCGGTTTGGCCTTATAAGCCTCTGGAACATGCCTCTACACATTTCTGCTTTCTGCTGTGTGTTTGTGTAATTTCTCTTCATTTTGTGTTTCTAACGTTCCACAGCTCTCTCCTCCCAGATCATCCACTTGGTACTATTATTTTCCTAACTGTCTTGGGCAAGTGCCCAGCGCCTGACTGTGGAACCAGTGGTTTCTGTCTAGGGACAGCACCGTAGCAAGATACTTGGTGTCAGCCAGCAGGATAAAGTGGAAGAGGCTGTCCTTTGAGTTTTTTCGTTGGGTGCAGTCAACCCACCCCTGCAGTCTATCAGGGTAGAAGGAATGGAGCTGGGCAGGCTGCCTGCAGGCCTGGCTAGTGAGTGGGGGGTGGATTCTGCTCTCTGGGAATAGCGAACATGAGCCTTGAAAGTAGAAGCAGGTTCACCCAGGACAAGGGTAGCTGGTGAGGGAACGTGTTGCTGGGAGATTTCGATTAAGAGTTTTTACTTGTTTTCTATTTTCCCTCCCCTTTAAATAGAAATCGCTTTATCCAAGTGCAGTAAGATGGTATGTAAGGCCCGTGTGGTGTTAGGTGTCAGAGGAGCACGGGTGAGGACCCAGGACACTGTCTTGGTCTCATTTGCTGTTTCTTAACTGGCTCTAGAACCTGCCCAGGTGAGGAACCAGGACACTGTCTTGGTCTCATTTGCTGTTTCTTAACTGGCTCTAGGACCTCAGGAGGAGCAGGTTGGGGGTTCTCCAGCAACTTCATGTAGGTCAGGAAATTTTTTTTTCCGCTCCAGCCTTTCTGAGGTATATTATTGACAAAATCGCAATATATTTTAAAAAGTATAACATGATGATTCACATATGCCTACATTGTGAAAAGATTCCCACAGTCAAGTTAGCACAGCCTTAACCTCATCACGGCATTGTGTGTGTGCGCACGTGCATGCGTGCTTAAGATCTATTCTTAGCAAATTTTTGAAGGTATGCCAGGAGTTTCTGAGGCGCTTTGGCTATGGCTTGTTTAGACATACGATGGCTTGTTTAGACACACGCACCCTCTTTGCCTGATTCCCTTTTGTTGAAGACAGTTGTTCCTTATATTTGTCTTGTGTACATGGGATCTAGGGGACCAAGCATGTATTAATAGCTGCGGCCTTTTTGGAACCCATTTAATGGGGACACTGTGTTAGGAGTAAAGCCAGATGGCTAAAAGGGAACCTTTTATTTTCTAAATTATTGTAGTTCCTTATTCTATTTCTATCAAATGTGAATCCCTGTGTTTTTCCTACTAATTCACTGCATGTTATTGAGAGACATAAAGATGATGAAGTTATAGTCTCCATATTCTTTACACCCTGAAAACCACGACTAACACATATGCTGTGTGTCTTTTCAGACTTTTGTGTTTCTCCTTTTTTTTTCTTTTATAAAACTGAGGTGGGAATTTGGAAAAAATCTGAACATAATAGAGAAGAAAATAGAAGTCTGGTCAGTGGATGCAGGAACATCTCCTAAGCAAATAAATCAGTGGCGGACTTGGTCACATCACCCTCACACCCTGAAAAGGGTGTGATTGAAGAGTGTTCCTTGTTTATGGAGAACCATAGCACAGTCATGCTTGTGGATCGACTTGCTGTTTAAGATGACTGAGGGCGTTCATCACCATCACAGCTTCTCTCGCTCAGGATCACCTGTGTCACCGCAGAAGCAATTTGGGAGACAGATGGGGATTTTGCCCCTGCCCCACCTAGAACCTGCACCTGTGGATGACTGGACTTCTATGCAAAGCACCTCTGGATTTCTTAGGCAACCTCAGACCATCCTTTTTAGCTGTTAGGCTTCTGTAATTGCCTTTAGGTTTGTTCTTAGAGAATACCAAGTGTGTAGCAGCATGTGTTTGCAGTGACCTCGGCATAGTTCACTTTCTTTGCTGAGCATCTGCCTCCTTCTCTTGAGAATCTGCCCAGGAGCCCCTGGAGTGGTTCAGCCAAGGGCCCTTCCAAGCGCATACTGGCTCCTGCAGTTCCATCTTCCTGGCAGCCTTCGCCCCCCTAATGGGGAGCAGCTACTCACCACCTTGACTCCTGCCAGACTGGACTGGGCAGAAGCCTTGGAAGAAGGTGATGTTTGTACAGGACCTGATGTGTCAGGGTGTACTGGAGAGATTTAGACAATGGGCAAAGAGTTTGGGGTTGAGTTATGACAGAGAAGCAAGCAAATGAAAAGACCAACCAATTATAAACTTGTCAGGGAAGGAACGGTATTCATAGCATGTTCCGTGGCCCAGCTGTGACTAGTGTTCATCTAGGTAAAGCTGTGGTCAACCTTGAATATTAAGCCAAACATGGTGATAAACCTTTTGAGAGCATGTTGGCAGAAGTTCAGGGTTTGAGAGTAGGTTAGAAAGGCAGGTAGTTTATGTTCTGTGGTGGAGAATCAATAATGTCTAAAGTTACAGAACAGGAAATACCAATGTAGGCTTATAAAGATAGGAAATTCTGAAAAAAATCTTTGTTTCAGGAGAAGGTAAATTGGTGGGGGGAGGGACATGGAGGCATTGCTGTTTCCCATAACAGGTCTTGTAGAGCTGTTTGTCTTTTAAATCAAGAGGATGTATAACTTTGATTAAAGATGAAAGCCAATGAAAAAGAAAATGTTGGAGAATCAGGTGCTTGAAATCCTCCATTTCTTGATCCCGTTTCTACCACCCCCGCTCCCTAGCACACATACCCGCACACTTGTCTGTTTCTCATTATTGAACTAGGGACTCCTTTTAAACATCTCGTGAAATGATTGTGCTGAAAGCCAAATTTTCTTCCATGTTTTGAGGTTCAGAATAGACTAAATCACCTTGTATTGATATATACATTTTAATACAAGCCGATGCTTGAGAAAATTACTGTTTGGGCATTTGTTTTTAAAAAAAACCTTGCCGTGGTTTTTCTTTGTAAGTTACAGTGCTAGGTCTTGTAGCCTTGACTATAGAATATAGTCTGAAGAAAATAAAGCACTATTTTGAAACATTTTTAGGAACCATGTAGTAACTGGCTGTTTACATTTTGTGTAATTATATGAGTTTAGTAGTGACTGAAATGTTTTTTTTATGCCCAGTTTTTTTCCAAGCATTTTATTTTTTAACAAGTATTCTGAAACACAAACTGTGTTGGTGTTTTAATTTTTAAATTTTTACATTTATAATTTCTCTCCAGGTATTTAAGGAGGTTCTCCATCTTCCTGTGTATCTCCTGAAGCCATGCCGTGCTAACCAATTTGAAATAATAATCTCCAATACACTGGTGAGAGGAGTACCAGTAGCTCTAATTTTAGGTTATAAAAGTCAAGTTAAACTGATTGCAAGTTTTCTTTGAAACTAATTCCATTTTCTACATCTTTCTAGCAACAAGGACATTTTTTTGCTGTGAAATTTATTAAAAAATTTTGCCTTTAAATGGCCTTCTTTGTTTTATTACTGGTTTAATAAAATTTACTCATAATTTTAGCCATAGAAGTTAAAATGTACATCTGTGTATGCATTATTTCTGTCCCTGTTTAAGGTGCTGGGAGTCCTAGGCCTGTGCTGCTGATTACTGGTTACTTACTTGTTACACTGAATCCCTTTGTGACTGTCTGACCCTCCCTGAGTGCTGTGGCCATATTGCCAGAGTTCCTGCCTCCACAGTGGACCTGAGCAGCTGTGATTAGCATTTCCACTCTACAGGACAGTAACGATTATAAAGATTTTTAAAAAATATTACAGAAGTAACATAGTGCCTGTCAATGGTAAGAGCTCAGTAAATATTAAGGAGGGTGCGGTACGTACCACGCAAATAAATTATTTAATTAAAAAAAATTTTTGTAATGTGTTTTCCTGAAAGAAATTTAGAAGCATTGGTTTTTGAAAAGTGACGTTCTTTGAAATGTTTATTGGGACCGCAAATTTATAAGTAGGAAAGAACCAATTTATAGTACTCATTTAAAAAATCTAGGTATACGGTATCTGTTCAAATATTTATAATTCTTGGCAAAATTTATTCCTGTATAATTTACGATTTTAGTTGTCAGTTGGATTTTTTCCTCTTTCCTTACGTGTAAATTGTTGCAGAGGCAGTTTTCTTCCCTGGGTAGATTAGGTGTGAAAATAGGAGGACAGATTCAGTAACTCCTCAGCGTTTGCGATGTGTTGGTCTTTTCACTGGCAATTCTAGGGTTTTCCATTAGAGAATTCTCGCCGGGAAATCAGGTATTATCAAATTGCCTTCACGGTGTTGTCCTGCAGGTGGCGCTGTTGATCAGAGCAAGAGCCTCAGTTTGGCAGGGGACTGATTCTTTCGGACTCAGGTATCCAGGAGGTCACCATGGAAAAGGTTTTGCGTTAAACTCAATGCTGGGCTTTTCTGAACTGCTTTTCATTCCAGCACCATTGGTTACCCACCTTCCCTTCCTCCATCTGATAACTACACACATCACCTTTGCTGCAGTTGATTATTGTGCTTAGGTAAAACATAAGGCCCGAAGTGTCAGGAAAAATAATGGCTATAATCACAGAATAGTGTCTTTTACATTAAAAAAGGATTCTTTTTCTTCCTCCTCCTGCTCCCCGTAGTGAGCATATGTGTGAGTTTACTCCATTTTTAACAACTCCAGGGGACATTGTGTTTTACTTAAACTGTGATCCAGGCACTTTTCAAAACACTTAAGTATAAACCCATTTAATTCTCTACAAATCTACAAATTAAGTATTACTACTCTCATTTTACTGACGAGGAAACAGGTACAGAGAGGGGGTAAGCAACTTTCCCCAAGTCTCACTGCTGATAAATGATGGGACTGAAATTTGCACCCAAGCATTTTGGCCCCAAGAGTTATTGTCTGGTGACAGGAGTTGCAGCCCCTGAAACTGGAGCTCTAGCAATGCGTCCTTCCCAGCCTGTTTCTCAGTCGCTAATCTTTTTTCTTTTGTGATGTTCTTTATTTTTTATATAATCATGAACTTAAAAGTGGAAGTAACTTTCCCCCCTCTAAACTGTGAGAGTGTGTTGTTGACCTGATACCACATCAACTCCAAGCACTTCAGCTTGTATTTTCCACAAACTACATTTTACTATGTAACCATATACAACTGATACGTTGCTAATACTCTGATTCCATTCATCTTTTCATTTGAGCCAGTAGAGTCTTCTAGCAAAGGGAGTCATGTCATGTATACTTAGTTTCCTTTCGTCTCTTGACGTTTATGGCCTTGATGCTTTGGAAACTGCAGGCTTTGTAGGTAGACTTTGTACTTTGCAGGGTGACCTTCACCTTTCCCTCATGATTAGGTTCGGGTTGTGCACCTGTAGCAGTTAAATTGCAGAGATGATGTCATGTTCCCCTGACTGCGTCCCATGAGGTGGTGCATGATTGCATTTTGTCTTATTACCGTTGATACCTTGACCAGAGTGGTGTCTACCAGCTTTTTTCATTGTGAACTATTTCTCATTTGTAAATTATGGTCTTTTGTGGGGAGGTACTTTGAAACTACCTGTGTGTTCAGTTCTCCCTGAAACTTTCTTTTATCCACTTAGTTGTCTCATCTATTTTCCTATTTTATACAGTAAGTTATAGTCCATTTGTTTTACTACTACTTTGGATGCTCACAGTGTACTTTGATGTCCCTGATTTGGCCAGCAGAGTTCCCCTCGAGCTGGCTTCTGTGCCTTTTGAATGTGTCCTTGTTCTTAGGCACTTCCTAGCTTTTTGAAACAAGATGTCCCAGGTTGTTCTTGTACTTAACCTACCCCAGTTCTGGTATCAGTCCTTTCTCCCAGGACCTCTGATTCCTTTTAGTCGAGAACCATATTTAGGNGGCACTTCCTAGCTTTTTGAAACAAGATGTCCCAGGTTGTTCTTGTACTTAACCTACCCCAGTTCTGGTATCAGTCCTTTCTCCCAGGACCTCTGATTCCTTTTAGTCGAGAACCATATTTAGGGGAATTCCCTGGTGGTCCAGTGGTTAGGACTCTGTTTCCACTGCAGCAGGCATAGGTTTGAACCCTGGTTAAGGAACTAGGACCTTATATGCCACGAAGCACAGCCAAAAAAATAGTAATGACTCATATTTGGAAGCCAAGATCTGGTATAGGTATGACTGGTGACATCATATCACAAGATATCACTGCTGCTAGGTCCTTACAGAGGCTAGAGCTTGGAAATACAGGTATAACCGACTCTTGAACAAGTTTGAACTGCGCTGACCCACAGAGACATTACTTTGCAGACAAAGGTCTGTCTAGTCTACATAAGCTATGATTTTTTCAGTAGTCATGTATGGATGTGAGATTTGGACCATGAAGCTGAATGCCAAAGAACTGATGCTTTTGAATTGTGGTGTTGAAGACTTTTGAGAGTCTCTTGGACTGCAGGGAGATCAAACCAGTCCATCCTAAGGGAAATCAACCCTGAATATTCATTGAAAGTACTGAGGCTAAAGCTGCAACTCCAATACTTTGGCCACCTGATGCAAAGAACAAACTCATTAGAAAAGACCCTCATGCTAGGAAAGACTGAAGGCAGGGAGAGAAGGGGATAACAGGATGAGATGGTTGGATGGCATCACTGACTCGGTGGACATGAGTTTGGGCAAGCTCCAGGAGTTGGTGATGGACAGGGAGGCCTGGCATGCTGCAGTTCACGCAGTTGCAAGAGTTGGACACAACTGAGCGACTGAACTGAACTGGTCCACTTAGGCTCAGATGTTTTTCAACAGAATTACAGTATTACACAGTCATATGTTGGTTGAATCTGCAGGATCAGAACCTTGTATACAGAAGGCCAACTTTAAGTTATATGTGTATTTTTAACTGCAGAGGGTCAGTGAACTAATGTGTTGTTCAAGGGTCAACTGTATACACAGGTACCTCTGTGTTTACTTCTGAATCTGTCTGCTTATACTGAGAGCTAGGCGTTCACATCAAGACTTCCATATCCAGCCCAGCATCACAGGGTTCATTTTAGTTCTTTCGGTATTTGCAACTCTGATAGCAAGAAACTGCTTCTCATTACCCTTGATGTATTTCTCACTGGAGTAACTAATCTCCCATCTTTCTGAGGACACCTCTCTCACCTGCTTCTGGTTTTGAGGGTGCTGATCTCATCTTCCACGTGGATTTCCTTCTCAGCCAACTTAGGCATCCTATACATAGCTGTCCCCAGATGGGGACAGTCTTCTCCCTGCCTAATGATGTTAGGACTGAACTGCTCTGGAAGAAATAAAGTAGACAGAGAGGAGATTTTAGCTCCTGTAACAGAGACTACAAAGAACGAAGGCTCAACAAGGTAGTTTCTCTGACCTTTCCTTAAATGTTGAATCCTGAGTCAGTGAAAATGATGCTGTCCCTGACCCTGCCCGTTAGTCTGGGAGCTGAGATGCCTGGGGCCTGAGCTAGATGTATAGGTGGCGCAGATCTGGGAGGCGGAGCCCCTGTGTCCTCAGCGCAGCTCTGCTTCTAAGAGGCTGAATGTTCTTGGAGGAGTAATCTGAACTTTTCTGTGCCCTAGCTCTCTCATCTGTAAAATGAATAGCCTGGGCCATGTGGTGACCATGGGCCAAAACTGGCTAAGTGCTTGATTTATACTTAGGTGTTAGCCTTCAGAAAAAAATTGGAATTTAAATTGTTTTGGAAGGAGGCTGTGCGTGCCAGTTAACCACAGGTGAGCCACAGCTCAGATGATCTTTCCAAGTTTCACGCATTTCCTTCCAGCCCAAAGGTTCTGAGGCTTTATTCTTTGGGCTCTGGTGAATCACGGTTGCCCCAGTCTGACCCTTCTCAGCTAAAGGCAGTGTTTATACCGAGAAGAATGAAAACAGCTTCTAGACTTCCAGTCAAGGCCCATATTTAGGACATGATTTTAGCTTCTCTTTCAGCGACTGCAGAGAATGAAAGCTTGACAAGGTAATAATCTCTTTCCTGCTTAGCAGTCCAGATGTAGGTAGTCCAGGGTGGACTGGTGACCCTCTGGTGTCTGGGCCTGAAGCTTCTGATCATTCTGCTTGATGAAAGATGACTCATCACTACCACATACTTGGGTAAGGGAGGGCACTCTTCCACCTAAGGGTGTGACCAGGAAGTTGCACTTGTCAATTGCAACAAGTCACATCACATGGCAGAACTTAGTCACATAGCATATACAGCCCAGTGGGAGGTTGAGAAACAAACCTTTGTTTTGGGGAGCTGTGTACTCTGACACAACTTGGGTGTTCTGTTGAGAGAGGACAAAATGATTAATGGGGGAAAATTAGCAACTTCTACCAGGTATTTGCAACTCTGATAGCAAGAAACTGCTTCTCATTACCCTTGATGTATTTCTCACTGGAGTAACTAATCTCCCATCTTTCTGAGGACACCTCCCTCACCTGCTTCTGGTTTTGAGGGTGCTGATCTCATCTTCCACGTGGATTTCCTTCTCAGCCAACTTAGGCATCCTATACATAGCTGTCCCCAGATGGGGACAGTCTTCTCCCTGCCTAATGATGTTAGGACTGAACTGCTCTGGAAGAAATAAAGTAGACAGAGAGGAGATTTTAGCTCCTGTAACAGAGACTACAAAGAACGAAGGCTCAACAAGGTAGTTTCTCTGACCTTTCCTTAAATGTTGAATCCTGAGTCAGTGAAAATGATGCTGTCCCTGACCCTGCCCGTTAGTCTGGGAGCTGAGATGCCTGGGGCCTGAGCTAGATGTATAGGTGGCGCAGATCTGGGAGGCGGAGCCCCTGTGTCCTCAGCGCAGCTCTGCTTCTAAGAGGCTGAATGTTCTTGGAGGAGTAATCTGAACTTTTCTGTGCCCTAGCTCTCTCATCTGTAAAATGAATAGCCTGGGCCATGTGGTGACCATGGGCCAAAACTGGCTAAGTGCTTGATTTATACTTAGGTGTTAGCCTTCAGAAAAAAATTGGAATTTAAATTGTTTTGGAAGGAGGCTGTGCGTGCCAGTTAACCACAGGTGAGCCACAGCTCAGATGATCTTTCCAAGTTTCACGCATTTCCTTCCAGCCCAAAGGTTCTGAGGCTTTATTCTTTGGGCTCTGGTGAATCACGGTTGCCCCAGTCTGACCCTTCTCAGCTAAAGGCAGTGTTTATACCGAGAAGAATGAAAACAGCTTCTAGACTTCCAGTCAAGGCCCATATTTAGGACATGATTTTAGCTTCTCTTTCAGCGACTGCAGAGAATGAAAGCTTGACAAGGTAATAATCTCTTTCCTGCTTAGCAGTCCAGATGTAGGTAGTCCAGGGTGGACTGGTGACCCTCTGGTGTCTGGGCCTGAAGCTTCTGATCATTCTGCTTGATGAAAGATGACTCATCACTACCACATACTTGGGTAAGGGAGGGCACTCTTCCACCTAAGGGTGTGACCAGGAAGTTGCACTTGTCAATTGCAACAAGTCACATCACATGGCAGAACTTAGTCACATAGCATATACAGCCCAGTGGGAGGTTGAGAAACAAACCTTTGTTTTGGGGAGCTGTGTACTCTGACACAACTTGGGTGTTCTGTTGAGAGAGGACAAAATGATTAATGGGGGAAAATTAGCAACTTCTACCTGAGTGTTTGTTAAAAATACTCCCTTCTGCCCACTCTGCGGAATGTCTTCTGTCACATGTCATTTTGCTCCCTTAGGCTCTGATGATCAGCCAATGAAGAATTCATTTAGATTCTGGTATCATTACTTAGGGCTATTCGTTATGACCCTTCATAAAAAATAGAAGTCATCAGCTTCCAAAAGCAGCCAGTCAGGGAAATTTCAGAGTTGGTTAGAACAGAATGGGAGGTGGAAGAAATGAGTTTCGACAAATGGGATAGTTGGAGGCAGAGTTGACAAAGATAGGAAATCCTGTAGAGAGCCAACAGCCAAGTGGAAAGTGGGTACCCGGAGAAGTCATTGCTGGTTAAAGAGAAGTGGGAAAAGGAAGAGGGGCCGAGAACCAGATGTCAACTGCATTTTCTGATGTGGCTCAGTGGATCTCTAATCTTTTGAATCAGGGCTGTCAGAAGGGCAGGATTCCACTCAACTCTGCGCCTTGTAACACAGGGAAAACCACATCTCTTCTGAGGCCTATGTCTTCCTCTGTAAAATGGGCATAATCTTCCTCCAATACTTCTTTTCCCAGCACGGTTGTAAAATACGAGTGTGATGTCAGATGTTAGAACTTTCTGGGTAAAGTGTAATAGATGCATGGTGATGCTGGAAGAAGCGGTGGAGCTCCCTGTATTCTGTGTGGAGCTGGTCTGGGCCAGCCCAGGGGCACTGATTTAGTTAAGAGAAGCTCAGGGATCTGGACTGACGGGGGTCACCTCTGACTCAAAGGTCATTCCTTTGACAAACAGGGTCTGGGAGAGACCACACAGTGTGGTGGTTAGCCCCTATTTGGAGGTCTAGACCTAGGCTGTCAGCATAGACCCATATCTGGAAAGGAGTGGGGAGGATGGGCATAGTCTCGTGTATGGTCAGAAAGATGCTCCTTAGACTGGGCTACTCCTGTTGTGGTGGGATTGCCAGTGCTTTGATGAGCTCAGAGTCCCTTTAAGGAAGTCTTAACCTAGGACTCTTGAGAGGAACCCAAGAACCATGACTGGAACTGGTTTGATCTTGGATTGCAGTGAGCCACATGTCATACCACGGAATCTCTCCTTTTGAGCTGGTGAACTTTATTCAAATTGGCTTTCAGCTTGAGAAAGTCTTCTGAGTGAAAAGAAGAGACATTTTCTCCAGTTTAGGGATTGAGTTTGCAATTAAAATGAGGACATTCAGCTGTAAGCCAGGAAATGCTCTTTGCTCATAATCTCAAACAGCCTGTGAGAGAAGTCCTCACGAAAGGACTATGAGAGTGTCTTTTCCTGTGTTCTTTTTGGGGGAGGAGATGACACATGGCCTTGTCTTTTCTGGGGATAACAGGAGGGGACAGTGTCTCAGGGATGCATCTTGTTTTCTTTTGAATTGCAACTTGTCAGTTTTATGTTACTTCCCTCAGTTATTCATTTAAAAAATGTAACAAACTGTGGTAAGAATAACAAAGATGATTCACTGAAGGTTTTTCTTTCTTTTCTTGACTTAATGACCTGCCCTAACTTAAAAGAATTCTGCATAATCATTGCAGTGTCCTGGTGTTTTAAATCCAGATTTCTAGCTATGCCAAAACAGAGTGATCAAATGATTTTAACCTCTTGAAATGGAAAAGAACAAAAGTACCGGGAAGTTTTGTACAGCTTCAGGCTGTAGACTCTGTAGGAATGACCCAGTGAATTTTTTATTCTTGTAGTTTGCCCTGCACAAGGAGCCTACCTCTGCAGTCTGCCTTAGCTGCCTAGTAAGTGGCAGATCATTCCAGCCTCTCGTATGAACACAGGTAAGCTGAGTCTGTGTTCCCCACTGTATTTTCTGACCTCTGCACATGTAACAAGGACTTTCTCATGACCACACTCCCTCCTTTCCTCCTTGAGGGATTTCATTTTATTCTTGCTCACGAAAGCAGAGAGCTGGCTGAGGCTGGTATCCCCCCTGCCTCCCTCCCAGCCTGCTCAGAGCCTCTGCACCACCAAGGGCCCCCTCCCTCCCAGGTCAAGATGCCGCAGTCTGCGTGCTGCTCTGGATAAGTGGCTGAAGTCACGCCATCCCCCCAGTCCCAGATCTTTATAAAGAACCAAGTCAGTGGGCTGCCCTTGTTCTCCCCCAGCAGGATTCGTCTCCATAAATTGCATCCTCTGAAAAAGGGGAAAGCCCAATTGTTCCCTCTGTGTTGCCCAAATGACTTGCAGGGCTTGGGTTTTTAGTAGCTTCCAGAAACAGAAGAGGCTTTTTTTTAACTGGACGACGGATTTCCTCCAGCGAAGTCTCCCTGGCTGACCTTTATTTAAGCAGCTTGGTGCTGGCCGTTCTGTGGCTCCAAATCAGTCACTACAGGAAACCACTTCAGGGCTGTGGTTGAACTTACAAGGTCGACTTCTGGTTTGTTATTTCTTTTTTTTTTGTCTGTTCCTTAAAAACAATAAGGAAGGTTACAGAAAGTTTCATATGATCTTTCTCACCCCAGTGTTAGATCTCCTTCCTGTTGCATCCCCACGGTTCTGATGCACTGGTAAATTTTTTTTTTTATTAATTAATTTATTTTTGGCTGTGCTGTGTCTTCATTGGTCTGAGGGCTCTTCTCTAGTTGTGGCGAGCAGGGGCTACTTTTTTTGTTGCGGTGCATTGCGGTGGCTTCTCTTGTTAAGGAGCAGTGGCTCTAGGCTTTCAGGCTTCAGTAGTTGAGGCTCGCAGGCTTAGTTGCTCCGGGGCATGTGGGATTTTCCCGGATCAGGGACTGAATCTGCGTCTCCTGCATGAGCAGAATTCTTTACCGCTGAGCCACCAGGAAGCGCTGCACCAGTAATTGTTTAATGTCTGCTGCCCTCACTAAAGGAAAGCTCTGAGGGCAGGACCTTGCAGAGCTTAACCAAGTTTTCTGTCTCTCCTCCCACATAGTATGGAATCAGTAAATGTTTGTTGAATAAAGAAATAAATAGATGCTCTGTGGAGGGTTTGACTTCTATTTGTATGTGAGGGGAAGGAAAAAAAAATTCTTCCTCACTCTTATGTTCTTTCACTGAGCCCTGTGAATTAAACTGAGAAAAAAGATTAACAGAAGAAAAAAATGCAAATTTTAATATTATTTTATGTACACAGAGGGGACTTCCCCTGGTGGCTCAGAAGGATCTGCCTACAATGCAGGAGACCCGGGTTTAATCTCTGGGTTGGAAAGATTCCTTGGAGAAGGAAATGGCAACCCACTCCAGTATTCTTGCCTAGAGAATCACCATGGACAGAGGAGCCTGGTAGTCTACAGTCCATGGGGTCCCAAAGAATTGGACATGACTGAGCAACTAAAATGCATGTACACAGAGGCCTTCTTACAAATGAAATGGAAACCCAAGAAGTAGTTACTGCTGGGGACTTACGTTCCATTTTAACAAAGGGCAGTGAATGGTGGTGAATTGAAAAGATGAAGTTAAGGGGGTTTGAGTTGCTAAGGGTAGTAAATTTGGGAATGTTAAATATATGGGGAAACATAATGGAAGAAAGGGTTATCTGTCAGTAGTAAGGTTTAGTTTCTGCGGACTCGTCTGGGTGCTGTCTTAAGCTCTGGTGGTAGAGGTTCTTTCCTTCTGGGTGTGAGAGAGGAGGACATCTTCACAAGGCAAGTTAAGCTTTTAGGCTGATGGGAGATGAGCAGAGAGCTTTTCCTGTGTCTGCTTTTTCTCAATTGCCTTCCCCTCAAGGAGAATTCTTCTGCCAAAGTGGCATATTTGGGGGCAGCATATTGTGATCCCTTTTATGTGTTTGGTAGAATTTGGATCTGGTAGAGACAGCTCATTTCCTTCTCCAGCATCCATCCTCTCCTCTTGTGGAGGGTGCATGAGTGCTTGGATAAAGACAGACAAGCATCTGCTAGTCTATTACAGCAAGGTGTGGCCATGTATTAAAATAGCTGGTGTTCCTGAGGACTTCTAGGTGCAGACGAATCACCTCTGGACTGCAAACTCCTAGGCTCTTTTGAGACAGAGAGATGACCATCTAGTTTATGCTGTTGCAGTCACAGTGTTTTGTTTATGACTTGCAAGCAAACCTAATTGTAACAGGTGTCTTGGCTTTTCTTTGCATTTCTGAGAAGAGATTTGGATTAGAAATCTAAATCTAGTTGGGGTGATCATAGAAAACCATGCCAGTTAGAGATGTTATGAATCTTAGGACAGCCTCAGCTGAGGGTATTTTCTTTGGTGGTGGTGATTTAGTCGCCAAGTCGTGTCGGACTCAAGACTCCATGGGCTGTAGCCCACCAGGCTCCTCTGTCCATGGGATTCTCCAGGCAAGAATACTGGAGTGGGTTGCCATGCTCTCCTCCATGGGATCTTCCCGACCCAGGGATTGAACCCGGGTCTCCTGCATTGCACGCAGATTCTTTACTGACTGAGCTACGAGGGAAGCCCATTTTCTTTGGTAATTTATTTCATAAATATGCTCACCAAAATGAAGTGTGTCCTCTCTTACCCTTTGGATTAGAAATGTAAATAACAATTCAGTACATTAAGTGTTGATCTATTGATTTGCTCTATGAGGCTGAAAGTAGCTACACATCTACAACTGGCAGCAAAGCAAAAAGTCTGGTATACCCACCTTGGTATTATTTTGCTCTTAAGTATAAGGAGAGTGCAACCAATCACTTGCTTGTTGTTTTTCTTTTTTAATTTTTTCACCTATTATGTTTATGTCATTGGAAGCAATTTCAGTTTCCTGGTGTCCTTTATAAGATTTGAATTTCTTTATTGCCTAGTCTAATTTAGCTCATATGAGTAAGAACTTCTTGACAATCACATGTTTCCTTATCTTTTAAACTAGTTCTTTCCTACATGCACCTAATTGTCTAAGCTGTGTTTCACTTACCTTAACCGTAAAGGAACAAGGAAATTCTGTCTCTTTTCAAGGAATGGTGACTGTGGTGACGTTCAGCGGGAAGGGGGCAGTCTGTGACCTATGCCTCTAGATAACAGGTTTGTGAGACATGGCTGTATGAGAAAAGGCTTCCCCTTCAGTGTTCAGTTTATAATATATTTTTTTTCCCCTCTAGGAATTCCCATTAAGCTTAGATAGTCATGAAGTGGGGAATTTTATCAACCTCATTGGAGTCATGGGACATTAAAATAAGCACTTTTAGCTCTGCATGCCCCATGCCCTGAAAGCAGATTGGGTCATCAGGTTGGCCTGGTGGAAATTTTTGTTCTTAATCTCTCTTTTGTCCATTCAGTCCACAGGCTCCAGAGCCACAGAAGCTGAGAGGGTGGAAGAACAGCTTCTTCTCCAACAGGAAAGAGGTTGGCACATAGGGCAGACTTTCTAGGAGGAGCAGGGTGAGACTGGTGTGACCGGCCTGGAGTGAAGCAGTGGGTGTGTGCTGGGAATGCGGTGCACACTTTCATGAGACTAGGAAGACAGCTAGAATTCTGACCCACAGGGATATTAGTTATGTGTGTCGTTTTAAAAGCAAAAATGGGATAAGTCCGTGTCCCTCATCATTTGTAGCATACTCTTAAATCATCAGTACCTACGGTTTGGGTCCAGAGTCTTTTTGCTGCAGCAGGGTCCTCACCCAGGTAATCCTGCCGGTTTCTTGTTCTGTCCCTGCCTTTGTAACCTAGGGAACTAGATTAGCTCTTCCTACCAGTGTAACAGGGAAGCTGCCCCTTTCCTGTATAAGGAGCTATGAAGGTAGTTCCCCTGGAACTGAGTCAAAATTCACAAGTGGGCATTTTCCTGAGAGGAAAAGATCCTTTTTTTGTTATTGGCCTGTCTCCTGCCTTCTCTGAAGCCCAAAGGATAAAATTGAATTTGTACACAATGTTAATACTATTAGTTAAGTTGTCACACTTTGTATTGTCTATTGTCTACTTTTGTTTTCTTCAGAATATCACATAACATAACTTGATATTTAGCCAGAGTACTACTCTGATTTCTCTGAGAAATTAATATGCCCCTCTGCCTTTCAGGTGGTAGATCAGTGGGGTGTTTGGAGAGATAACTGTGTTTGCTTTGCATCACTATCCTCTTTTGGGTCATCATCACTGTTTTCAGTTGATAATCACCAAAAGGGATACAGGGACTATGGTGGGAGACAGGGAGATGGGAGACAGGCCCGTCTGACATGAGTTAGTTTCAGAGTTTCAATGCTGCGAATCTTAGTATTGAGTCCTGGCTAGTCAAGCGTCATAGTGAAAAAGATAGTTTTAAGAGGCACATAGGGCAAAAATGATTGGTGTATTCTGGGCAGTACTTGAAGGCAGGCTTACCCAAGACAAAAACAAACAAAAAGCCAAGGACATTTTTTTTTTTTTTTTTACAGGTGGGCGATTTCCCAGGGTTTAACAGGGTGTTAGAAAAGGGAGATTCTTTTCACGTTTGTCTGTGCATTGGAAAGCTTAGCTTGGTGGATGATGAGAGAAGGACACCTCCACATTCTCACACACCCAGTCTGAGGGAAAAACTACCCACAGTCCCCACCCAGCTGAAATTTCCCACTTGATCCGCTTTTTGGTGAAACCTAAGATTTGAGATGCGGCAGCTGCTTCCAGCTGTAGTCTCAGGAGCCCAGGGCATTCTGGGATGGATGGGGGGGTGGCCTCATACATTGCACATTCAGACCAGACTCAGAGGATTTGGGACCATTATTCTTGGCAGGTATTTTCCTGAACTATCATAAGGAAAACAAATTAATACAAATAGGTTTTTGCTTTTAGTGGATTTTCTCTATATAAAAGTTAAAGTTCCTGCTTGTCTGTCACATGCAGAGGGAGTAAGACACTTGAAATGTATTTTATTAAGCAATCTGAGGCCCAGAAAGTGGACAAAAGACCTGCCATTTGTATGATTCTGAGTCCAGGGACACTGTGATTCCCAAATGAGTGCCCTTGGGTGCAAAATTTGAATGGATAGATGGATGGAAGCCAGAGTGTGGATGTTCTCCACTGAATGGCTTCCAGGAGACTTTACTTAGTTTCAGATAACTTTTCTATGGCCCTCGAAATCTTCAACAATTTAATAGGTTTACTCTCAGGTGACTATAAAGAAATGGGAAGTCTGGGCCCCTGGAGCTCCTGGGTGCGAGGCATGAATGAGGAGTGGCTTTGGTTCCTTACGTTTTTGCTTCCAGGGTACTGGCTGCAGTCCTGGCCACAGAGGGAATTAGACGAGGGTCCCGGGCTGCTGTGGAGGCCGAGGGTGCCTGCGCTGACCTCCAGAGCTGGAGCCAGACAGCAAGTGACAGATGGACTGGGTTCAGCCTGAGATGTAATGAGAGGCCCTGGGGAGCCTCTTATGCAGCTTTTGTTTCCAGGGCTTTCAGTTCTGTAGTCCCTTTTCTGTAAAGAAAAATTTTCTAGAAATGTTTACTTGTAGGGAAGAAACTTAGGATACTGAGACATGTTTCCAAGTCTACTAAGAAAATCTTCACCCAGTGATACAGGACTGTTTGCCTGGTTTCTCATTCAGAATTTGGCCTTGCTTGGTCCTAGAGAATGGAAACATACATCAGGTATTCTAAGATTTGCGGGACCTAATGAAATAGAGTTGACTGATGTTGTGCTATTAAAAAGAATAGTGACCAGACATTGAGAATGATTTGTGGCTGTCAAGGGCAGGAGGGTGGGATGGAAATAAAACAAGAAATAGTGATCATTTCAGTTATTCCACATCATGGGCTCAGGAGTCATTCTGGATGTGTGATTTTTATTGTATTTTTTTAGATTGCTCTGTAGTTATCTAGGCTTAGGAAATACTCTCCTAATTTTGGTGGTTTATGAATGTAGTAACTGCTTTGATGGGCATCTACTTAAACTACTGTAGATTGCCCTTTCTTGAATGCCATATTCCCAGTGAAGCACATGAAGTTGTCTGTTACAGACAACGTTGTGAATTTTAAACAGTTTCTGAAGGTGTGAAAAATGTAGGCTTAGACAGGAGACGGCCTATAGCATAGTGCTCAGCAGCGTGGCTTCTGAAACCAGAACATCAAAGCCTTGGTTCCTCTACTAACTAGCTCTGACTTTTCAGAAGTTACTTAACTTCTCTGTGACTCAGTTTCACTACTTATCCAATGGGGTGGGAGACATGGTGGTCACTCAGATGTGCTTCACAGACCTCTGGCTGCAGGAAGCGTGACTGACCAAGGGCACCAGCCACTGTACTCTGACATCCATCACCGAGGTGCACTGAGGCCAGGCCCCCACCTCTGCTTGTAGCCCACTGCGCGTGGTAAAATGTGAAGACAGACCCAATCCTGGACCGCTTGGAGCACCTTTGTTTGCCCCTTTGGCCTAAGGACTTCTTGACAGCCCAGCCTAACCCACCTTTCATGATGTTTTCAGCCAACCTTCTGTCTGTCTCCTCCCTGGACTTAGACTTACAGTAAGGTCTGAGGGCTCTCCTGGCCTGGTCTGGCTCCCAGCCTTCCCCCCAAGGTGACAGTGGGAACTGGTTGACCTCAGGCTGTATTCTGGGTGCAGGGCACACCCCGCTCTGGTGTTGGCACTCACAGGGCTGGTAGAAGCCTGAGTGACCCATTCAGAGAGGGGGAACCCTCTCAGATGGGTGCCTCAGCTCTCTTTTTCACTAAGTGGATGCTGCCTGGCTCTCTGACCCATCCTGTTTTCTCCTTATCAACAGCTGTTTCTCTTTTCCTTTTCTCTTTCTCCAATCATCTTTTATTTCCCCATTGCTTTATGATCTTTATACAAAGGGCCAGGCCTGGTCATCAGAAAACCAGAATTTTGCCTTCCAACAACCTCCAGAAGTTGTATGTTCAGTTATTTTTTGGGCTGTTTCTCTTTTTAATTGTTTGGTTAACTTTTGCCTTTTTATTACTATTTCTTGCTTTCTTTTATTTTGAACTATCAGAGTATGAGATGCTCTGGTTGCTTGAGAATTCTGGAGGGTTGAAATCTGGATAAATGAGGTGATATAAGTTAATTCTGTAGGAGTAGAAACTAATGGAGCAAATGAGCAATTGCATTGTTATCTGGGAGATGTAGAAATGTTTTTAAGCTCAAAAATTCCCTGGATGCTTGGAATAGAATCTGGGTGTTTAAATCTTAATGTGTTAGGACTAGATTCATATGATATATTTGATACCAGTAATACATGAACTGATTTACATTTCTGTCAAGGCTGTATATTGTCACCCTGCTTTTTTAACTTATATGCAGAGTACTTTATGAGAAACACTGGGCTGGGTGAAGCACAAGCTGGAATCAAGATTGCTGGGAGAAATATCAATAACCTCATATATGTAGATGACACCACCCTTATGGCAAAAAGTGAAGAAGAGCTAAAGAGCCTCTTGATGAAAGTGAAAGAGGAGAGTGAAAAGTTGGCTTAAACTGAACTGAACTGGAAGTCCAGAGAATAGTAATTTCACATTTTATGTGGACTTCAATTAGTTCTTATCAAAGATACTTTTGTAATGAATTTGTTCCCCCCTTATTAGCAGCCTTGTATGGGCATTAAAGTTCTTTATAATGATATAAGTTACCATGGCAACACCATAGTCACAAATACTAGTCATACAATTGAACTTAAATTTCAGGTCTCAGTAAAATCGTAGGATCATTGCACTAAATGGATTTTGAAAGGCTAATGGGCCCAACACTTTGCCCTTAAGCAAAGGAGAGTTGTTCCCACAAGATCCAAATCAAACTTATTTCAGAATTTCTGGGGAAAGTTTGCATAACTTGAGGCAAAATGTAAATTCTTAAGCTACTGTTATATTTAACAAAAAATGCAAACTTAAATAATGCAAACTGAGTTATTTAAAGAATGGCTGTATTAATCTTGTCCATATAATAGCTGGTTTGTGACATGTGACAACTCATTATGGTTAATGAAATGTGATATAACATGAAGTCTACAATAATTTTAATTTCGAGAGTCTTTTGGGATTAGCTTTCTTTTTCTGCCCTACTGGTTAGGAGATTTTTTAAACCACCGCAGTGTGGATTTAGGACAAGCTCATGAGGCAGAGTGTGTGGTAGGAAGAGGCTGGCAGTTTTGAATCAGAGCATCTGGGTTCAAGTGTATTCCCCTGCCATTTAGTCCCTTAGTAAAGTCATTTAGTTTCTCAGAATTTAGCTTCCTCATCTGTAAAATTTTAATATTAATATGGGAATAAATTCTTTTTTGGCCAGATTTTTCTGTGGCTTGAAGGCATATTATATATATAAAAAAGAGCTTTGTAACAAGTTCCTGTTACTACTTCTGTGAGAAAGGCAATGTTCGTATAATTTGTGACTTATAAGGAGAAACCTCAGATATGTTCTTAATTGCATTCTATGATGAGATGCTCAATTCCAACACAAGTGACCCTTAATCAGGTAAAAATAATCATAAAGGGTGAATTTTACATTTAATATCCCTGGAAGGTGAGGCTCAGGTTCTCTTCCCATCCCGCCATCAACAACAGCAATGTTGAGCACTAGGTGACCCTGTTACTGAACCATTGTGCCCATTATTTCATTGAATACTCCCAATAAACATGCAGAATTGTGAGTCACTATCTCCACTGCAGGCAATGTGATGAATGCCAAAAAGACAGGGAACTTTGCCAAACCTCAGTGTTAGTCACTGGAAAAAAAATTGAATGTAGTGATTTGGGTTCCAGAATCTATGCTCTTGACACTTGCTAACTACTTTTGAGCTCACAAGTCACTAGATTCAGAAATTGGTTTATCACTTCTTCCAGAACTCCTGGGAATATCAAGAATATCTATGTCCTTTGGCTGGGCCAGTTCTAATCTAAAAATACAAAATTCTTCTTTTTGTTGTTCTACTGGATGAATGTCACAAATTTCCATGGACTTTATTTGACATTGTAGGGGAGGAAATGCTTTTCCTCTATCCTCTTATGTTCAGTCTGTGAGACCTACAATTTAAATTGATAAATGGCAGCTTCACAGAAGAAAATCTATACAGATTTTACTGATATAAATAATTTTACATGTATGAAGGACTTCACAGAGAAGAAGTGAAAATCCCAAAGAAGCAGTTACATAGTTGGAGTCTTATATACCTAGCTGAATAGGAGAAAAGGGAGGGAGACAAAAGGCACTTAGGGGAAAACAAATGAAGTTTTGGAAAGGTAAATGGGCTCACTTAGGCGACTAAGTAGAAAAATGCTAGCCTTCCAACAATTTCTGTTTGGGTGTGATTAAATTAGAGTTCTTTTCAGGGAGTGGACTTAGGACAATTGAGTTCTGTTGGGAGGCTCTGCTTTTTGGTAGATAAGAGATTTCATGGACTCAAAAGCCTTCAGCACAAAGTAATTCTTTGTCTAAATGGGATAGCATATTGTGATCCTTTTTAGCACGTTTGACTGAGAATGAAGTTCTCAAGTTACCTAATAAATGTGATATTTAGACTTACTGTCCTCTGTTGCAAATGTGAAGGAACTCATGGCTCACAGCTAGCATGCATTTGGATTTAACCATTTTACTTTATTTTAAGTGAGAAGACTAGATTCTCAAACCCATCACCAGAAATTTTAATTCAGGAGATCTGACGGGGTTTCAGGATCTACCTCCCTGGGACGCTGAGGTTGGCACTGACCATGTAGTTTTGGTGGGAGGGCCAATGCCTTTAATTCCGTTATGAGTTTATCCCTGAGAAATGCAGAGTTGCTAAATAGAATGGCCCAATAGTCAAAGAATTCCTCCTGAGACTGGGCCTGTTGTCACAGAATCAGATTGAGAAAGAGGGGCAGTAAGAACACTTCTGTTGCAGCAGGCTGCGCTTTTCCCAGTGCTAGAGTAAGTTAGGAGAGCTTGAAGGTAGATGAAACCTAAATACCTGGGAAAATGAGCTGCTTGAGTTGAGTGTTTCAAACTCAGGCAGCATTTGTGTCCTAGCTATTCAAACTAGTCTCACCAGGGAATTGCAGTGTCTAGTTGTACTGTCAGGTACCAAGTTTCAGTAAATAAGTAGTACCATTAAACATGATGTTCATGGGGTCCTAAATGCTTAATGAAAATCAAATTCATGAAAGAAAAAACTAACTTCTATGCTTGCTTACTTCCTAAAACCAAGGTCTCGATAGTATTGTACAGTAGCTAAGTTGTGTCCAACTCTTTGCAACCCCATGGATGACAGGCTACTCTGTCCTTCATTATCTCCCAGAGTTTGCTCAAACTCATGTCCACGGAGTTGTTGATGCCATCCAACCATCTCATCCTCTGTTGCCTCCTTCTCCTCTTGCCCTCAATCTTTCCCGGCATCAGGGTCTTTTCCAAAGAGTCGGCTCTTTATATCAGGTGGCCAAAGTATTGGAGCTTCAACTTGTGCATCAGTCCTTCCAATGAATATTCATAGTTGGTTTCTTTTAGAATTGATTGGTTTGATCTCCTTGCTGTCCAAGGGATCCTCAAGAGTCTTCTCCGGCACCACAATTGAAAAGCATCAGTTCTTCAGCACTCAGCCTTCTTTATGGTCCAGCTTTCACATCCATACATGACTACTGGAAAAACTATATGTGTGTGTGTGTGTGTGCCTGTTCGCTCAATCGTGTCCGACTCTTTGCGACCTCCTGGACTATACAGTCCATGGAATTCTCCAGGCCAGAATACAGGAGTGGAAAAAAAGGAATATCCTTTTCCTTCTCCAGGGGATCTTCCCAACCCAAGGATTGAGCCCAGGTCTCCTGCATTGCAGGTGGATTCTTTACCAGCTGAGCCACAAGGGAAACTCTAGCTTTGAAGCTTTGTTGGCAAAGTAATGTCTCTGGTTTTTTTTTTTTTTCAGAACTGATTTCGTTTGGGTATCTGACTGAAGGAGTGTGGTTGTAACCAAGATGAAATTCACAGTATGTTGTTACATTCACACTTAAAAAATACATCTCTATGTATAGGAATTTGCAAATTGATATAAACATACATTACTTCCCAGTATATTTCTCCCTTTCTTCCCTGGAGGAAAAAGGTTAGCGCCATCCAAGCAAGGCAACCCCTTCTAAGTAACTTGAACGCAAACGATGTAGGTTATCTCTGCTTTTTAATATGCTGTCTAGGTTTGTCATTAGCTTTTCTTTCAAGGAGCAAGTATCTTTTAATTTCATGGCTGCAGTTACTGTCTGCAGTGATTTTGGAGCCCAAGAAAATAAAATCTGCTGTTGTTTCCACTTTTCCCCCATCATATAGGTGTGTGTATTAATAAAAACGTCCACATGGCTAGCTCCCAGATTTGAAAGGAAACTGAAAGGTCTAAAGCAAATCCCCTGGGTCAGTTCTAGGTGCTTGGCATCCAGAAAATTATTTAACCTCACTGGCTCGGGTAGTGTTTGTGAAATTGGAAGCAAAGAATGTGAGTGATTTATTTTGTTCTTTATAAACACCTGGGTTGATTTATTAACAATTTATTCAAAGGCCAGGAAGTCTTTCATATGTAAAAACCTGATGGTACTGGAAGGAAAGACTATAAAAACGTTGATTTAGAAATAGATACAGTCTCCTCTTTTTCCAGGAAGACCACGTCCTTATTTCTATACGCTGGGGCTTCCCTGGTGGCTCAGATGGTAGAGAGTCCGCCTGCGATGCGGGAGACCTGTATCAAACCAGGATTTGATCCCTGGGTTGAGAAAATCCCCTGGAGGAGGGCATGGCAACCCACTCCAGTATTCTTGCCTGGAGAATCCCGTGGACAGAGGAGCCTGGTGGCCTACAGTCCAGGGGGTCACAAAGAGTTGGAATCAACTGTGTGACTAAGCACACAGCACACCTCACTAGCAGGTGTGGTCATGGGGAGTATTTACTTGGAGCAGAACCAGACAGAAAACTGGCGACCTTTCACACAGGTCTATTCAGGCCATTAAGGTTACTCAGCTCAGAAAAGGCAGCCCTGTAAGTGCCATCATCTTACTACAGTTTAATGTCATTTTATAGCTTCAGGGGCTTTTCACGTATCCTTATTTCATATTCATCACCACTTCCCCAGATGACATTTAGCAAACTTAAAAAAAAAAAATTGAAGGGTAATTGACCTACAACATTATGTTAATTCCAGGTGCACAACATAGTGATTCAGTATTTCTATGCATTACAAAATGATCACTGTGATAAGTCTAGTTACCACCTGTCATCCCACAAAGTTATTACAAAATGACTGTATACCTGTGCTGGGTGTTACATCTCCACGACTCATTTATTTTACAACTGGAAATTCATGCTTCACCTATTTC